AACAGTGAGCGAATGGCTACCATGTGGGCCATGCCTCAGGTGAACTATTCTACACCATGTCACTGTCACTTTTTTTGCTCCGCAATGAGGTTAGGTTGGATCCTAGTGTGGGCCAAACGAAACAAACTTGTACTTGTCGCGTAGGCAGTGGGCATGCATCATGTGGGCCTCATGGGCTGGTGGCCTAAGTAGTGCATGTGACCGTGGGTAGTTGCAGTGGACGCAAGAGGAGCGCGTGCGTCACGCCACCCGTGGGACCTCACTGGTAGGCCGACACCACTCTATGCCACCTCGATCGGACACCACCAACTACTCAAATGGTCCAAGCTTTGCTCCGGCAAGCCCACTTGTTAGTCCTTGGATATGGGAGCTAGCTACTGACTGGCTGGTCAAAGGAGCCTCCGCTCAAAACTCCAGCCCCCTCCAACACACAACATTAATTTGCTTCTTTTTGGGACAATGAATATCTCATCAGTCTAACTATCATAGGAGCCCGAATCTGATTATTAAAAAGGAAATAGAGGGTGCATGCATGCATGCATACATGGTGTTATGTTGTTGTATGTTCCCTTTAATTCCATTATTTCTAACACATAAACTTATGTTATTACAATTTGCAAAGCACATCACATCATTTAGATGTACTTGCCTGGGCCACCATAGTATACATGCATACCATCGTCATTAAGTCCATAACCATCATAGCTATATAGTTTTAGATTATTAGAAAAAGGATTGGCATTACGGATGTTTGGAGTAACAAGCTTGTTATCCTTGTCTTCAATAACTTGAATATTCCTAATAAAAGCGGCTTTGCCAAATCCTTCAGAAGCAAAATGCCCACTTCCCATATGGCGTGCACCATTTAATTTATCTTATCTTAATGGCGTTACAATAGAAAAGTTCAAGAAATTCTCTTTACATGCATCGGCATAAATTATTTGGCTATGAGATGGTAGAAAAAAGATTCCAACTTATCATGAATAGCTCAACTAATATCATTGTGAGCTGAACAAAAAGAATATAGCAAAAATACTTGCACATAAACTACATGCTTAGACATGGAACCTATATGACCAATCATACAAATATTAAGAATATAATATTACCTTAAAAATAAGAACATTTATTACATATTGTGGTCCATTATAGACAGATATGGGATTGATTCTTCCTCCAAGACCAACACTGTGACTAACTTGCATGAAACCAGGGCAATTGTGATCACTGCAACTCTTGTTCAATTCTTCATTATCCTATTATTAGAATTTATTCCAAAGTCAGCAAGGAACTGTAACAAATTATATTTGTAATATCCGGGTTATCAAATTTATATGGTCCATCATAGATGGTTACTGAAGAAAATGTTTATGTCTCACCCAACGAATATGGAACCTAGCAAAGCTATCACCACTTCTTGGATATACACAAGACCCAGCACCTATACCAATTCCGTTGGTACCTTTTGGGACAACACTAATTTGTATCCATGATGCACTAACATCTTTGCTATCTTTCTTCACACTTGGTTCATAGACATTTATTGATGCCTGCATGCCATATATCTCATCCCAATATTCAATTCCTGCTCCCTACAAGCAAAAATTATGATGCCTTGTTGGGATAAAAAGACTAACATAAATACTACGAAGATCAGCTGATCGAGTTGAAAATTTCCATTGCCATATCCAATGCAAGGATAACAATGTGGGGTCTAGGTTGGCAGTTATCCTCACATTGGATATCATTTTCCAATTTGTGCATGCTCAAGTGTTATTGGGCAGATTTCCCAAATCAAAGTATATATATAATTCTAATGGCATATTACACAGAAATTTCAATCTTCTAGTGTTGTCAAATAGGACCAACACTAATACATTTCCCCCGATAAGTATTAGTAATTGGATACAACAAACATATTTCAAATCTCCCTTTGGTTTTATTGAAAAAAAAAGTAAAGCTTCAGAATTAAAATAAGTTACTTATTTCTTAAAATTGCATTTGATCTCTGAATTTCTATTTTTTTATATATAATTGCTCATAAGATGGGAACATTGCACATATTTCATCTTATATTATGTCTCGTTGAGAATTTTGATGTTAGCACTCAAAGATTGAGTCGAAAATGATCATACTTCGTAAATATGCAACAACTATTCATGAGGCAATACCATACAATAGTCTATAATATCATAACCAACCTTTTATTACTATATAATTTCAAAATTTTATTAAAAAACCTACCAGCATTGGTAAATCATCATTAGCCAGTGTGCCAATACGTTGTACCATCATGTTGGCCAAATTGTTGTTGCGCACTATTGGAATTGTTCCAATGGGGCAATCAATGGTAGACAATTGTGCTTGCGAGATTGCACCTACTAATGGCGATTTGATATCCATCCCTATCGGGAAAGAACTAGGTTCCATCTATTTGTCATGAAAAAACTTGATCACCGTATTCATTAAAAAAAACTTGATCACCGTATAATAAATGACTCCCAACGCACAACCAATTAAATAGATATACACATAGAAAAATATGCACACATGATTTGAAGTGCAGTTTTCACATGTGTAGACGATGAACAATAGATACAAAAAGAAGTTATTGTTCTTAATGTTAAATCAAAGTGTAGAGAGTGGATAAAGAACGATTTTTAAAAACAAATGTAGAAGCAAGCTATGACCTATCATGAATACAAACTAATGTAAAGAATCTTGCTATGATGATTTTTCCTACAATTTTCAGCCTATATACCATATAATTATGAATATGAAGGGACTTGCAAATATTTTTTGATTTAAAATTAAAAATATCTAAATCACCGTCATGTGATAGAAAATCAGATCTTTATGAAAGTGGCTAACCTGAATTTTATGTCCTTTGAACAATGGATGTTTCAATGATGGTTGTAGATTCACATCGACACAATCATATATGTCTCCATCTTCTACCTACTTTAATGTTTCTCTGTGCTTGTTAGCCATCAAAGGATCACTAAATGTATCTCGGAAAAAGGTATACTTGCTAATACCTGAATAGTCTTATTAACTTGTAAAGTTGTCAGGATTCGACTAGTATTTTCTCCATTGTTAATGGGTTTGAGCTCTTCTCCCCTAGTAGTTAGAACAAGATATGACAAGAGGAGAGCCAGTTGAGAAACATTGTTTCCTTTCATGGTGGAAATCTTGAGTGGTTTGTTTCATAGCATTTAGACCATTATATAGGAAAGGTTTCACTGGCTATCATTTAAGATGTAATACATTACAATTAATGACAGATGTACAATACATTTATTACATAGAACAATCCCAGTATTAATTGCACAAGATATGGTAGAGTAAGAGCCATCTCATATTTGCACAGGCATGACTACTTCCACCTAATTAGTATTATATAAATGTATAAATGACCTTCCTGCCTAAACATGTTAAAAACAAGACCTCATTTATTGATAAGATTGGTAGCATTAAGCGAAGAAAATAGGGGAAAGTCGTCTTGAAGTTCTACAACAACCAACAAACTTATATGGGTTTCCTACAACCCTGCGTTATGGATGCTCCCAAGCTTGGCTCCGACAAGCCAGCTTCTTGGTCATGGAAAATGGGAGCTACCGGTTAGACAGTTGGAGGAGCCTCCTCTACAGTTATCATACTCCTACCTCTGCCAACAACACATCAATGGCAGAAGGAATATGCTAGCTATGTGTTATTAAGTTCCATTTGCTTCTTTGGGACAATGAGCATCTCTTCATTTTAACTATTACAAGAAATCATGATTATTGAAGAAACAAGAGGATGCATGCATTGTGTTGTCATGCCATGTATGTAACCTTTAATCCCATTATTTCCAACACAAAAGATTATGTTGTTACAGTTTGCAAAGCACATAACACCATTTAGCTATACTTGCCTGGGCCACCATAGTATACATGCATACCATTATCATTAAGTCCATAACCATCATAGCTGTATAATTTTGGATCACTAGAAAAAGGATCAGAATCACGAATGTTTGGAGTAACCAGCTTGTTATTCTTGTCTTCAATAACTTGAATATTCCTAATAAAAGTTGTTTTGCCAAATCCTTCAGAAGCGAAATGGCCACTTCCCATTTGTGGAGGGTCTGAAGCAGCTATCGGACCTTGAACATATCCACCCCAAAATGCATAATCACCTTTGGCTTTGAGGTAAGAGAATTGTGAACTTGGCCAGTATCCGATTGGTGTATTGTTTGAACCATATGCCAACCACCAGTTTTCAGTCTTTGGATCCTAAAACATGTCAAGATTAGACAACAAATACTTAATGCAAATTCTAAAGTAATATTTGGCATTGAATATTGATATGTTTGTGTAATCAAACTAAAAAACTGTAATTAATTCGTCTTGATTTGAACTAGTTTGGACTAGTTTTATTTATGTGGTCATTGTAATCATACTAATTTCAAAAGGAAATTAATATAGTTTAGATTGTTCTTACTCGACTTATTATTGATATATCAAGTCTACATATATAGTCAAACCTGAGTTTCCATGTTGATCGAGCACAAATATCGTACAATTCTCAATCTGGGCATGCATTATGTTACAATTCTCAATCTGGGTATGCAATTATGTAATTTATCTTATTTTAATGAAACTATAACATCAAAGTTCCTTTTTAATAAATTAATTTTCTTTACATGCACTAAGATAAAATATTTGGCTAGGAGATGATAGGGAAGGGAATTGCTATAAAAACTATGAGTTGCTTAGTTTTTAATAAATTAATTTTCTTTACATGCACTAAGATAAAATATTTGGCTAGGAGATGATAGGGAAGGGGATTGCTATAAAAACTATGAGTTGCTTAGTTTTTGAAAAACAAAAAAAATAGCAATAATAAATTACATAAATTGCACGATTAGACATAGAACCTATATAACCAATCATACAAAATTTAAGAATATAATAACACCTTAAAAATAAGAACATTTATTACATATTGTGGTCCATTATAGATAGAGATGGGATGGATTCTTCCTCCAAGACCAACATTGCGACTAACTTACACGAAACCAGGACAATTGTGATCAACGCAGCCTTTTTTCAGTTCTTCATTATCCTGTCATAAATATTTATTCCAGGGTCAATAAGGAATCAAAACGAATTATATTTATAATATCTGAGTTGGCTAATTTACATGGTCCATCATAGATTCTTTCTGGCCCATCATATGCCTTACCCAGAATATATGGAACCTAGCAAAGTTATCACCACTAAGGCTTGGAGACACACAAGACCCAACACCTATCCCAACTCCAACCGCAGCTTTTGGCAAGTTACTAATTTGTATCCATGATGCAGTAAGGTCCTGACTATCTTTCTTCACCTTTGGGTCGTAGACATATATTGATCCCCGTATTCCGTATACCTCATCCCAGTATTCAATTCCGGCCCCCTACAAGCAAAAATAATCATTTATTCTTGCAAATAAAAATAACAATAATTGCAAAGACCAAATGATCAAGTTGAATGTTCCATCGGCATATCCAGTGCAAGTAAGACAATGTGGGGCCTGGGTTTGTAGTCATTCCCGTGTTGGATATTATCTTCCAATTTATGCATGTTTCAATGCTACTAGACAGATTTCACACATCATAAATACATATATATAATTCTAATGAGTTATTACATAGAAATTTCATTCACTTAGTGCTATCGACTAGCACCAACGTGGATAAACCTTCCCAAGAAGTATTAGTAATTGGGTACAATAAACTGATTTCAAATCCCTTTAGTATTATTGAAATATTATTCATTTGATCGAATATCTTGTTAAAAAACCATCAAAGTTTCAAATTTAAAACTAGTTACTTATTTCTTAAAATTGAGAGAGTTTTTTTTGGGGGGGGGGATCTCTCTGAATGTCTTGTTTTATTTATAATTGTTCTTACAGTGGGAACATTGCGCATATCTTGTCTTACTATATCTCTCGCCGAGAATTTTGATGTCAGCACTGAAAGATTGATTTGAAAATGATCATACGTTGTAATTAGGTTATGAACAGGGACACTAGTTGTGCTGTTAAATGCCATATGCAATTCATGGGACAGTTCCATACAAAAGTCTATATTGTCACAGTCAGCCTTTCGTTAGTATATAGTTCAAGCATTTAACTAAAAAAACTTACCAGCATTCGTGACTCATTGCTAGCCAACTCGCCAATTCGTTGTAGAATTGTGTTGTCCATGTTGTTGTTGTGCAGTATCGGAATTGTTCCTATAGGACAGTCGAAGGTAGACAGATGTGCTTGCAAGACTGCACCTTCTAATGGCGATTTAATATCCAACCCTACTGGAAAAGAGCTTGGTTCCATCTATTTGACATGTAAAACTTTATCACCATATAATAAATGATTCGCAACGCACGACTACTTAAATAGATATCTACCTAACAAAGTGCTCCAATGATTCCAAAGTGCAGTTTCTGCGTGTATATATTATGGGCCATATATACAAAAAAGAAGTCATAATTTTCCTTTTTTATGTTAAGGCAAAAAGTGTAGGGAGTGCATAAAGGTTGATTCTTAGAACAATCTAGAAGCAAGCTATGGCCTACCATGAATACAAACCAATAGAAAGAATTTTGCTATGATGAGTTTGCCTACAGTTTTCAGCCTACGCAGTATGTATCATATAATCATGAATATGAAAGAACCTAAAAATATTGTTTTTTGCATTTAAACTTAAAAAAAATAAATTGACCCACCATATGAAAGCAAATCTCATGTTTATGAAAGTGGCTTACCTGAATTTTATGGTCTTTGAACACCGGATGTTTAAATGTTGTCTGTAGATTCACATCAACACAATCATATATGTCTCCATCTTGTGCCTACTTTGATTTTTGAGTAAATCGTATTAGCTGTATATGAATTTGTTAGGTGGGTGTAATCTAGTGCATGAACTCGTAAAACATTCATTTTGGTAAATGAACTAGGTGCGTGCGAACGAAGGCCAAAAGAACATAACAAGACTATTCTTGCTAATTTAAGTATTGATTAGAATGCTACATAAATATGTACTTGAGAAGAATGCTACATAAACATGCATATTTTCACTAAAATGGTTTAATAAGGCCTATAACGATTGCACGGAGAATGATATAAAAAAACCGAGAAATGATACAAGGGGTAGAACAAAGAATAATAAAGTATAAACCAAGTTTACAAATATAGTATGTTTCATGCTCACCTCACGTGTGCACGTCCTATCCTAACCAGCATCTAACTTGATAGAATTGGCCATGACATGTCCTTTTGGTCTTAGTTTGCACCCATCCAACAAGTTCATACACCAAAACAAGTATTTTACAAGTTCATGTAGTAAATTGCACATACCTGATAAGTTTGTATATCACCAATATAATTTACTCTTGATATTTCCTCTTGTTTGTCATCAAGGATGCCAAATATACAACCCCTCCCCCCCCCCCCCCCAAACTCAGAAAGAAAGAAAGAAAGAAAAAGAATTATTTCTCATACCTGAATAGTGATATTAACTTGTGGACTTGTGAGGCTTTCATTAGCTTTTTCTCTACTGTTTATAGATTTGAGCTCTTTTCCTCCAATAGTTAGAAGAAGATATGACAAGAGGAGAGTCACTTGAAAAACATTGTTTGCTTTCATTTTGGTAATCTTGAGTGGTCTATTTCATAGCATTAGACCATTGTATATATAGGTTTAGAGGTTCCGCTAGTTTTCACTTAAGAGATACTATATTGGAATTAATGGCAGATATAAAATGCATTTAATTACACAAGAAAAATCATAGTATTAACTACACAAGATATATAGAGTAAAGACCATCTCATAATTGCACAGGTATCACTGCATCCCTCTCTTTGTTATAAATGTTTAAGTGACCTTGTTGTTGTACACACATTAAAACCAATACCTCATTTATTGATAAGATCAATATCATTAAGTGAACAAAGAGACAAATGTCTTGAATTCTATGAATACCTTCTCCATCTGTCCAAAAGTTTAACGACTACTATGTTCCTTTTAGAGATTAAGAATAAAGAAAAAAACTATGATATCTCTTATTAAATGAGTGGTGGTTGGGGAGAAGATAATAAGAGATGGTGTTTGGAGGTAAGATTGAGTAAAAATAAAATAAGGGATGGTTGGTGAAGGGAGTATTGCTCCATAAGTAGGACAAAATTTAAATACTAAAGGTTCTTATATTTTAGGGCAAATAGAGCATATCTGAATAAGAGTAAGAAATTTAAAATAAATAAGTGATTTCTTAGAATCGAATGGAGTAGATAATGTGGTGGACATCACCAGCGGCTATCAGGAGAATGCTGGCGGAAGGCCTGGATGAACACCGGCGGCAACTGGTGAGGTTGCGAGCGTGAACCACCGTGAGTGTGATGACGGCAGCGGCGGCAATGGGCTTGAGGTCATCGTCGATGGCTCCCTAAATAACGACGTCATGTCATAAGCATGTAGGCATGTACTCCATATAAATGCAATACGTGTTAGCTGAAATGGGCAAGAGAAAAAAAAAAGAAAAACACCCGAACCATCTAACATGACCCATAGCGGAAGGCACTACTATGCGCTCGCTCCTCATTGTGAACGGATTGGTGCTGTAGGGGTGGCAATTTCCTTGATTGGGGGCACCCCTAATGAAAACGGAGCGGATAGTTTCCGTCCGCTCCGAATAAAAACGGATACGGATATCTTTTGGATCGGATAATTCTCGGATAGTTTAGATGCGGATACGAATACGAATAATTCGGATACGGATACGAATTAAATTTAGCCACCATATGTAAGAAAGCCATCTCTTTAAGAAAGTGGCTTACATCGGATGTTTACATGCTGGTTGTAGATTCACATCAATACAATCACATATGTCTCCATCTTCTGCCTACTTTTATAATTCATATATATGTTAGCCATCAAACAATAAAGCCAAATATAGCCCAAAGAAAAGTATTCTTGCTCATACCTGAATAGCCCTATTAACTTGTTGGCCTACGAGGATTTGACTAGAGTTTTCTCCATTGTTTATGTATTTGAGCTCTTTTCCTCTTATAGTTAGAACAAAATATGACAAGAGGGTAACTTGGAAAACGTTATTTCTTTTCATTGCATAAATCTTGAATGGTCAATTTTATAGTGTAGACCACTGTATTTATATATGTTTGTAGGAATCCGATGTTGGTATTTAATAGGTAATATTTTGCAATTAATGCAAAATATATAATATATTTAATTACATAGAAAACTATCCTATTAATTGCACAAGTAGGATCGATACTTCCTTTAGGTATTAGACTGATAGCACTCATTTATTGAGAGCAGGTACAATAGCAGGCTATAAGCCAGCTATAAACATATTTTAAAGAGATAAAAGAAGAGAGAAGAGCAGCAGGCTACAGAGCTGTAGCCAGCTGCAGCATGGACTCCAAGACATAATGTGTGTATGAAAGGTAGGACCAGGTATAATAGTATAGTAAACAACTATTGTATGAATTGGCTATTACATTGACAACATTCAGAGCAAGTTTGATAGTATAGCCCACTACTAGCTCCAAATTATCTATAGCCAATGTAATAGCCAATAAGAAGGACATAAAGGGAAAAAGCAGAAGACAAGTGTCAAGTAAGCACTCTAAAGTGACATGCGTTATTTGGAATGATTTTTTTTAAAAAAAAATGAACCTTTTAAATATAAGAGTAAAGTCCATCACCAGTCCCTAAACTTGTACCGTTGTGTCATTTCGGTCCCTAAACTTGCAAATCGATCGTTCAAATCCTCAAACTTGTTCGACTGTGTCATCCGGTCCTTAAACTTGCAGATCACTCATTTAGGTCCTCCAACTTGTTCAGTTGTGTCACCCCGGTCCCTTAACAGGACGGTCTAAAAACTTTATATCAAAAATTAATTCATAACTTTTTCATGTGAACGCTAATGAAGACAAACTTTATATCAAATTTGTAGCCCTCGACACGACCTACAACTTTGTAGTTGAAAAGTTTTTGAATTAAAACTGTTTAGGGTCCCAAAATATTGTTGCATGTTTATAGATTTTGATATTTTAATTTTAAAATTACATTTTGGGACAAAAAAATGACTTAAAATAAAAAAAAATCAACTACAAAGTTGTAGATCGCGTCGAGGGCTACAAATTTGATATAAAGTTTGTCTTCATTAGAGTTCACATGAGTAAGTTTAGGGACGGGGGTGACACAACTTAACAAGTTGGAGGACCTAAATGAGTGATCTACAAGTTTAGGGACCGGGATGATACAGTCGAACAAGTTTGAAGACCTGAACGGTCGATTTGCGAGTTTATGGACCGGGATGACACAACGATACAATTTTAGTGACCGGTGATGGACTTTACTCTCAATATAAATTCTTTGAGAACTTATTTTCAGATTTGTATCCTTTTGGCTACGCTATTTTCACTAGCAAGGTATAACAATTTTACCACGGTGGTGTAATATCATGGTGTGATTTTGCTACACCAGTACCACCACTCGTAGTGGCATGGCAGGTCAGTGGTACTATAGTACCGCCCACACCATTGTTTGTATCCTTGTCCTACCATGCTACCACGGATTGATTTTTCTTAATTTAAATTCTTCGGAATTGGAAGTAGTAGTTATTAATGTCAAGAGAGCAAAGGCAATTTAAACTATGCAAAATAATTTTTGGAATGATTCAAAATATCGCTTAGAAAAAGGTTGATGCATGGGCTTGAATTCTCGTTTTGCCCGATGCAAGTCCTATATACTCCACATGTTTCATATGGTAAGACTTTCTAGTTTTGCTCATATACATATAAAAGTTAAAGAGTAAATTGCATTCACGGTACATCAACTTAGTAAGTTGGTGTAATTTAGTATAGGAACTTGAGAAATGAGCATGCTAGGACAACAACTTACCAAGTGGGTGCAACCTAGTACAAAAACTTAATAAATGAGCTTATGGGTACAACTACTTGAAATGTGGGTATGATTTTGGTACAATAACTTGAGAAGTGGTGTAAAAACTTAATTATTTTGAGTATTTTTGGCTATATGTACTCAGCTTTTACGTACTCTGTTGATAATACTTGCCTGAATCTTCTCTCTCGGTTACTCAGTGGAGTGATCTCTCTCTTAAATTCCCATAAGGATAAGGAAAAGTAGACGGTTCGAAACCCGTGCTTAAATCCTACTCAAGGTTATACTTATGTAGATTTGTACAAGCATTTTTTTTTTGTCATTCTAGTAATTCAAGGTCAAACAAATTTTACCATGCAGAAATTTTCTAGTTGGTAATTGAGATGGTGAAAAAAATATCTAAATCGATGGTGCAAATTAGGTGAGCAATATATTCTTACATATTATATAAGATTATATCTACGGGAATGCTATGTGATGACATATTAACATCGTGAACTTTCATAGCACTCATTAACCAAAATAGCATATCTAGCCAAGTTATTGCACCAAAATACTAAATTATCAAATTCTTGTATTAAAGCGCACCCACCTACCAAGTTATTGCACTTAGACGTCACATTCTCAAGTTCTTGTACTAAATCGCACCCACCTGTCAACTTGTTGTACCATGAGTGCAATTTACTCAAAGTTAATGGATCTAGAGACATATATATGTCTAGATTCATTAACATCTATATGAATGTAGACAATGCTGAAATGTCTTACATTGTGAAACGGAGAAAGTATTATTTAGTGCGTTTGAGAGAAGGGAAAAATGAGAAGAAATGTTGAGAAGATATGTAGAGCGAGGTGGGTCATTATCGCATAATTAATTGAGTATAAATTATTTCAAAACTTGAAAAGGAAAGATTGGTGTTAAAACACCTTTCTCATAATTTTTTTTAAAGGTACTGTCTAACAGTTCGAGAAGCATATGTGTCTGGAAAAACAACCGACTTTTCTCTACTTGTGCTTGTGTCAAACACCTAATCTTGGTCCAAATTCAGTTACGCCTAGCAAAGCTTTGGGAAATTGGCAGTGGGTGGAAGACGCGTCGGATGAGGGTTAAACAAGGTTGACTAGTTGAGTACTTCAGGGGCTAATCCAAGCGTACATGGGCCGGCTGAACTCTTAACTTGGGTTGGGCCCGCCGTTAAACTCAGAAAGGAAATGCCATCCCGCGTTTTCCCTGGGAAGAGGACTCTTCCTCCTAAGGAAAAGGAAGAGCTAAGAACCCGACATGTCATCTAGCTACCCACATTCCCTTCCATTTTAAGGTCGGATTAGGTGTTGTTGTAATCCAACAAGGTTTATAGCAAGATTGCTGATGATCACCTTCTTCTCTTCCGATCCTCTTAATAATTTAATGTTACTTATCTCACATGATGTCTTAAATATTGTGTAGAAACCATGTCTCATGCAAAACATGGTTTCATTCTCTTTTCTCATTTATTCACATGTCACATCATTTTTCATACTAGGTGACAGCTTATTTAAGGGCAACAACAATGTATATAGCAAAAGTAGTCCATATAGATGGGACCCACACATATGGACTATAACTATTGTTATCTTCACAATGTATATAGATAGCAACTAGTATTAAGAGGGGAGAGGAAATAGAGAGAAATAACATGTTTTATTTTATATGGGCAACCCATATGCTTATAGTTGGCTTTTACTATTTTCTTGCTATGGACTGGTTCCATAATGTTGTTAGGTGGCTGAATGGAATATTTTATTGCTTATGGACTAGTTTTAGACTACATTGTGGATGCCCTACTGATATAGACACTATTCTAGTCATTGAGTTGAAAATTGCCTTAGGCCATTCCCAACCCAAGACACTAGACATAGTTTTCATAAACTCCACATCATAAAAAAATAATAGTACTAGACACTACTATTCCAATGCAAACACCACTATTCCATACTTAAATTTAATGCCACCTATCTCACATAATGTCTTGGATGTTGTGTAGAAACTATGTCTCATACAAAACATGGTTTCCTTCTCTTTCCTCATTTAATCACTTGACACATCATTTTTTATACTAGGTGGCAACTTATTTAATGCTATTGACACAATCCTAGTCATTGAGTTAGGAATGGTCTTAGTACCTATTAATTAATAAGAAGATGATATGGTTTAAATTAGATGTGGCATTCAAATCGACTATAAAACTTCCCCTGAGTAGATAGATAGATGAGACTTGTAAAGTGAGATTTATAAAAGCCCACACCACTACAAAGCTTTCTTCCTTCCTTTTTAAACCCAACCTCCCAACACCTTTCCTCACTCTCCTCCCTCCCTCCCTCCCTCTCCAACACGCTCACCCATGCAACCCAACGCCCGCCAAATGCGCGGCGGCGGCGGCGGCGGCGGCGGCGGGCAGGACGACTTCTTCGACCAGATGCTGTCCACGCTGCCGGCGGTGTGGTCCGAGCTCGGCTCCGGCAAGCCCGCCTGGGACCTCACGGCCGGCGCCGTAGGAGGAGGAGGAGGAGCCTCCGATGACCACTCCGCCGCGGCGTTCGACGACTCCGCGCTCCTCGCCTCCCGCCTCCGCCAGCACCAGATCGACGGTGGAGGCGACAAGCCCATCATGCTCCAACTCAGCGACCTCCACCGTCATCACGGCCTCGCCGCCGGCGATGACAGCGGCGGCGCTGCCGGGTTCCTTCCCCTGTCGCTGTTCGCTGACCGGTCGCAGGACGACATCGACGCCGCCTTCAAGTCCCCCAATGGCGCTGTACGATTCTATATTTCTATCGCTTGCTATATAGCTCAACGATTACAACTTGAAGGGTGAATTGAAGCTTCGGTTTACTTGAGCTATATATGGTGTTTCTTTGGGTTCTCTTCTTCGCAGAGAGGTGACCATGCGCTGTACAATGGGTTCGGGGCCGCCGGAATGCATGGCGCCGCCGCCATGCAGCCGCCGCCGTTCGGGCAGGTACGCGGCCAAGAAGCGGTTCAACTTCTCCCCCCAATTCATTCTGCTTCTTTACCAAGGTTGGAAACAACTCAGGAATCTGGATTGTTTCCTTGATTTTTGCTCAACGGAGTTTGGTTTGCTCCCTGTTCGATCAATTGCTCCACTCGTAAGAATGCACCTCTTGTTTTCCTCATGTCAAAGGGAGGATCAATGCCGGCGCAGAGCTTCGGTGGCGGAGCGGCCGCGAGCGGCGGCGGCGGCGGCGGGTCGGCGTCGGCGGCAGCGGCGGCTGGGGCATCGTCGGGCGGAGGGGCGGCGGCGCCGCCGCGGCAGCGGCAGCGGGCGAGGAGAGGGCAAGCCACTGACCCACACAGCATCGCCGAACGTGTATACCACTCTCCCACCACCTTTCCCTTCTCGCCCCCATTTTTTATTGCCTCCATGCCATGTTGTGTGAGTGTGTTCTTCTTGCTCCTGGAGCTCCACAAATTTTGGACCAACCTAACAAGTCAATTTGACCTGTTGCACACTTCAAATTTCGGCTAGAAATGGTGGTTTCGGTAGTAAGAAGAGCTTGAAATGAGATGGAACTTGTTGTGTTCTTGTGATTTCCTGAGACTTTGCATGTGTTTGATTTGCAGCTCCGGAGGGAGAGGATAGCTGAGAGGATGAAGGCGTTGCAGGAGCTGGTCCCAAATGCCAACAAGGTAGCTGAAAATTTTCCTCACTTTTGCTCCTCTTCTTTTGCTTTGTTTTACTTCTTTGCGCCATCTTTGAACAAAGTAGGAAGCTTTCCTTGAAATGCGATGAAGATGCACCCATGCTTTCTGCTTTTTTTTTTGTGTGTGTAAATATCTTATCTTAAAACTTAGTGACCAGCTAAGTGTGTTGATTTATTGCAGTATTAACACATATGTTCTGTTTCTCTTACAATTAACATGATGTGATATCTTCATTCTTCACTGTATGATTGGAAAATAGTAAGTGCATCATAGGGTAGGAAAGAGGGGACATGAGGCATATGATGCATTGCTGATTTGATGTTCTGATGCTTACACTGACACATGTTGGCCTTTCATTGGAGTATTTGGGTTGGTGATTAGCTGCTAACGGTGGTGAATGACACGTGTCGGGCTTTCGTTGGATGATTTGGGTTGGTGATTAGATGCTAATTGATGGTGAAGGCAGTAGTGGGGAAAGGGAGGTCAGACATGATGCCGAAATGAATGAGAAATGTTTCTACCCGTTAGGCCACCAACAGTAACAGATGAATAGCCACAGCTCAAATTTAGGGGAATGCAGATTAAACTATGGACTTGATCATTGCATTAGCCACCAGGTTCCTAGAGAACTGAACATCAAGAAAGGAATGGATTAGTACTAGGTGTTATATAATATATGCACATGTCTTAACTTCGAGACATGCATTTATACTTGGACTATGTGACGGCTGCAAAACACAAGAACAGGAGACACGGGCACTTGTCTAATGTTCCAGCCTCGTCTGTTCTCCATGAACTGGATAGAGAGCACTACAAGTCCCACAGCTACATGCCATGGTTGGCACTTCTGGAGCTTCCAGCGTCACGTCTGATATCTTGTTTTGCACAAACTGTAATCTGTTTTGTAGTATCTGAAGCGATAATGGGTGCTGATCTGATGGGATTTGGAATAAAAACTGACATCCATCTTCATATCTTAGCTGATAGGGTTGCTCCAGCACAAAGTAGAGTGACACGGATCACTGTCACTGAAATGACGATGTGGAATTTCGTTTTGCAGACCGACAAGGCATCGATGCTCGACGAGATCATTGATTATGTGAAGTTCCTCCAGCTCCAAGTCAAGGTAATCTAACCCTGCTTTTCTACAGATAGATGAATTCCTGCCTGTTGCTAATAAGTTAGTCCCTTGAATGTCTCAAATCGCGCAGGTTCTCAGCATGAGCAGATTGGGGGGAGCTTCTGCAGTCGCGCCTCTAGTGGCTAACATGTCATCAGAGGTACTTATATTATATGATGCTTTATTTTGAAAATCTAGAGCACTACCAATGACGCAATCAATGGTTAATGGTACTAGGCGAGGACTTGCTGATATGTGTAGGACAAACATGTTTAGCCCAAAATGCTATAATGATGTTTATTACAGCACAAAGTGACTAGGGAAAGTGTTATCTTTTTTACCATCAGGTTGGTGATAATAGGTAGTCATTATCTGTCCTCTTTAAAGTTAGTGTATTGATTCTGATGCATTTAACTTTCTTTATTTTTATAAACGAGCAAATGGTTATCTCTTGTCTAAAGTAGATCTGTCAAGAAGTTCATATAATGGAATATAAGCATGTTAAATCTTATCAGTGATTCTAACTTTGGCATTTGGAGGACTAGAAGTCAGACGAGTTACTAAAAACAAATGCATGCTTGCAAAATAGCATAAATCAAAAGGAGATGTGCCATAAATTTGCTTAAGAAACTGATCAAACCTTAGTGGGTACCAACGCAACAAAAAGATAAGGTCGGAAGGAATCTTGGTAGTTCAAGAATTGGATCCAAAAAGGACAAACACGCCTGAAAAGTGACAAGGTAGTACTACTGAAAAAAAAAATCAAGCATAATAGTATTAGCCTGTAGAAGCTACTAACCCACTAAGGACAATTCAAACCCCTTAAGTCTGAACACACACTAGCAGCCGAGCTACCATAAGGTCAACTACCTCAAATGTGACAAAAACGCCCATCAATTCCACATCACCTCTCTGTTGAAGAAATGGCACAGAGATTTTACAATCTCGAGTCATTTGCTCAAATTTTAGGTGTGTTTTTTTGCAGAGTAATGGGAATGGCAATGCCACCAGCAGCAGCGGGAACGGCGAGGCGGCCAATGGCAGCAGCAACGGCGACAACAATGGTGGCGGCACACTGCGGGTGACGGAGCAGCAGGTGGCGAAGCTGATGGAGGAGGACATGGGCTCCGCCATGCAGTACCTGCAGGGGAAGGGGCTATGCCTGATGCCGATCTCTCTCGCAACGGCCATCTCCTCCGCCACCTCCTCGTCGCTCCTCCCCCGCACTGGGGGAGGCGCTGGAGGGTCCCTACATGAAGGTGGTAATGGTACATCACCACCATTGGTGAATGGCACCGCCACCGGATGTGACGACGCCGGAGGTAAACAGTGAGGTTGGACAGTGTCCATGGGAAAGTTGAGTGATCAGGATATGTCTTCTAATTCTAGGGGTGGAATTGTGAAATGGCGATGCTCTTTTCTTTGCCTCTCTCTCTCTCTCTTTTGTTTTGTTTATAAGAAAAATGATGTTAAGCATGCGAGCTTTAGTTCCAGCTTTTCTTGTTGATATGGTATAGTAGCTTTTCTGATATCTTTCCTCCTCTCCTTTTGAGCAATTGAGCTTTGAGCTGCTCTCTAATATAATCTCTAGCAGTATTCTTTTCTGTTAAATTTGTCGTGGAGCTGTCGTTTCTCCTGCTGAATGAAGACTGTAGAGGTAAGGAGGAATCGAAATTATTGGTCCAGAAGGGACCCTGATCATATTCTGATTCAAAAAAAATATCAGAGTACTTCGTAGCCTGGAACAGGCATCAAGTGCAAAGGTTTGTCGTTGGAGTTGAAGTTTGTGCGTGAATCAGGGATAGGATATGCTCTGCTCTCTAACAGCAGCTTAAGCTGTAAAGTCTCCTTCACGCTGATGCAATCCAGGCGCTTTCCGGACCATCAGACATATAGAAGATTAGATGCAGAAACAACAGGCTGTACCTGTTCCTGAAAATTACCTACAGAATGTGTATAAGAAATTATATATCTAACACTTGAGCTGGAACAGTTAGGTTTCCCCTTACGACGAAGCACCAATGATTGCGATGCAGGAGGCAACAAAGTTGAATGATATGAAGAGGGCAAGGTGATATGTTCATACATGCTAGCTATGCTACTACTCCAAACTGCAATATTCCTTCGTTGCTTTCAACTCGCACGTCGCGATGGGCTGGCTTCAAGTAAACAAATCCAGAAGGAATGATATGATGAATAGATTCAAGGATTCGGACGGGAGATGCACCCACGTTGGTGAAGTAAATGAAGGGCATCTTTGGTCGTGCTCTAAACAAAAATATCGCAGTGACAACTCTGATGGATGAGTTAATACAATGAAAAATAGTCTAGAATTGCTCTAGAGAAAACCAAAATACAAGACTGGACACAAGATGATGAAAAAATTTTAATGCGAGACAGATGAAGCCGCACAACTGTTGCAAAAAGGAAAATGAACCGAAACAAAGGCCAAGGGATTCTCAACCTTCTGCCTGAAATTTGGAATCTCAAAGGCACTAGAAAATGGAGTAACAAACCGCATTACTAACAGAGACTGTAATAGTAATAGATATTTCAAGTGTAAAGCCTAACAAAAAGGTTAACAGCGACGATACATTGATGTGAACGTACCCAACTTTACTTTGGGGTAGATTCCTTCCTAGCCATGAAAAGCAGTGGATGTATTATAACTACAGAAGGAAAGAAGAATTCCTTCCCTGGTGTAAAAGCAGAAGAGAACTACTGTACCGTGCACCAAAAATAAGCAGCAGGTTGCAGGGATGGGGAAAGCTGCTTGGGGATTGCACGGCAAATGGATTACATGACACATCAAACCATCCCTCTTGTTTTGGACATCCATGATTAAATGCTGAGCCTGTTGCAGAATTATCATAGGCGAGAATCACCTAAAGGAGACAGCATTGGAATCACTGGAAAGGCAGCATTATAAATCAAACAAGGGATAAATCATGATCAAGTGGGTGTTTCGCCCTCCATACTTTAAACGATAAATGGATAGACCCAACCCGCTTTGAACCACATGGTTTAATGTTCATCACTTATCATGTTCAAATCTAGCATATCTCCATATTATAAGAACTCAATGAGCTCTGGTGATATGTCATGTTTAACTCCAAACTCTACTCTAGCCCATTTTTACTGGTACTCAATGAACACCAGAGTCCTGACAGTTTTACCCCTTCCTTTCTAACTGATGTTGGATGATGTTATCAAATTAATAGGGCTGGTGGATGAAGCTATAGCAGACAAAACAGTAAATAAAAAGAAGAAACTTCATGCCATCTGAGAAAGTAGAACTCACCAAATCTATGTAGCAGATGCAGATACATCATACAAAGAATAAATTAGAACTTCAACTAATCTATACTGCTTCACGTATTGATGGTTCTCTTTCTTTTAGAAGCATTAGGCGCTTTATCTCCCGACTTAGATTTCTTTGTTGCTTCTGATTCAAGAGACTCTTCCAATTTCTTTAGAGCTTTGATCACCCAGTCAGAAAAAAAAAGATTAAATTTAACACAAATCATATGAGTAATAATGCATTAGTGCATCTTAAACAAAACAGACTGCAACCTTACCAGAGGAAAAAACTGGGCGAAGGGTTTCTACCGATTCCTCTGGTAGTGAATGAAGACTGCAGCTAGAATTATCTGCCTTCTTGAGCATTTTGTCAAAAGCCTTAACCTGCAAAGACAGCCCAAATAAAAAGAAAAGAGTTAGAATGAGATTTTAGACTTATGGCACCTGCTCTCAGTATTCAATTAGGCATTCTTTTAGTGAAATAAAGTAGAAAGGTTACACAGACCATAGTTATCCACACATCTGGACATATGTTGCAATAAAAAATAAGCATCAGGTGTTTTATGCATTGGTAAGTCCTAAACCAAAACAGAAAGTCCCAGTGCTAGGTAATCGGTGGTGCCCCTTCTGTTTTCTACACCATATCAATTAGCGTCAATCTAACATATACCAAGTCAATAAATACTCAACTTCTTTTCTATGTTTTTAAACATCACAAATACAGGCATGCGATTAATCTTTCATGTGCAAGCTTCCTACACATATAGTCATATCATGTAATTACCATGTCATATTAATAAAATCAACTCACTGTATATTATTGTACTAGAAGAACGGAAAACTACTTATAATTGTTCAGCAATGTATTACCTCATGTTTCCTTAAAAATGTGAAGCAAGAACCAGACTCTCCCGCCCGAGCAGTACGACCTGCTCGGTGGATGTATGTTTTTACATACGGTGGCATGTCATAATTGATAACATATCTTAAGCCATCAATATGAATTCCTCGAGCCATTCTATCTGTACCAATCAGAACATCTATCTTCCCTTCCTTGAAGGCATCCAGTGTCTTCCTGCAAAAAATATGTGTTGCTAATCCCGTAACTTATCATGGTGTGAATAAGTTCAACATACCAAAAATTACATCCTATCATCAACAGAAGTTACATAGGTCTTGCAGTTCAAACTTCAAATCCACATGATCCAGAAAATATTATGATCCATAGAACTTGAACAAGGAATGGTCAGCTAGATATGATATTTGCATACTATTTTTATGTTGTCTATTTGCTAACAGCTCCATGAAACTGAACTTACCTCCGAGTCGATTCACGTTGCAAACGTGAATATTCACTAAATTTGAAGGGCAAGTCTTCGAAAAATTCCAGCAAGGTGCTCAGTCTGTGACTGGATTCCACAGATGAAGTAAAAACTAAACATTTTTCCCCACGCAGCTCTTGGAGAAGAACAATCAGAGATAGTGGTTTTAAATTTGATTTACAGACCTGCAGGTGCAACGCATCATCAAGATGAACAAGAAAATACAGAATTTCCAAATAGACTTTTACACATTGGATGCACCAGCACTAAAGATGTAACGGCTAAAAATGTGCTACATAGAGATGAGGACAAACCAGCTTGTAGGACTGAAGCTTTGTTGGAATTCTGTAGCGCTTCTTTCCACTATTCAACAGCAAGGGATGTTGCAACTCAAGTTGAGAAAGCTTGCTAGGATCTTGAGTCAGTGTGGCAGACAAAACTATCTTCGCCAATCTTGGAAAGGATTTACCTTTAAAACCACGCTCAACACCCCTATATGCCATAGCATAGATTAATCAAGTTTTGAATTGAAGTACAGATCAACAAACAATCCTCAGAGCTACAATAGCAGGAAGGGCTGAATCATAACGCATAAGTATTACAAGTAATATGTGAACTTTACTAAAAGGGGAGTGTAAAATACTAAAATATGACAATGTAATTAGGTAGTGTGGGACTAACGATCGTCTAATGGTAGTCAATGGATGCAGTAGAGTTTCTCCGTTCATGTCTGACCAGGAATGGTTTTGATCACTCGAGCGAGTAAGCTGGATAACTGTTGGCAACCAAGACTGATAAGCTTCTCTCAACATCCTGTCCGTCTCATCAACAACCTGAAATGTCAATATATTAAGTAGAAATTAAAGGCACTAAAAAGATGGAAAAGAAGACTCTTAGTGCTAAAATCAAAGTGCATATCCAAGCATAAACTGCTGGTCTGGTCAATCCAATAATTATGTGAAACCAACATAAGGTAAAATATATTAATAAACTATTTTCCTTATTCCAAGCTGTCCTGGAATAATCATGTTCTTGCTATTGCTGATTGAACAAAAGAACAAACAAGTAATCTTAGGAAAAGTAAGCAAGCGGGGAAGATTAAGGGGGTGGAATATAACTCAAGAGGACACATAGATTGTTCCCATCAACCTACCAGGTATTGAAGATGCTCCAGGCTGAAACCTTTTGTCATGCTGATATGATCCATCAGTCTTCCAGGAGTTGCCACCAATATATCAACTTTAGTCTGTGGTTCCATTTGGATATATTCTTCATCAAGACTTGGGAAAAGCCCTTGTTTAGACTTCTCAATAAGATTTGAAACTTCATCCGCTATTGATGATTGACCAACTGCTGAGCCTACTGACAAGCCCACAACAGGAGCAATAGCATCAAAAACCTCTTTAACCTGAAATTGAACAAAGAATTCATGGAACATCAGTATTGTTCAACATAACCTGAAGAACATGAAATAGACTTGTTGACTAGCTGTTCTGGTTAGACTAGCATGTAGAAGGTAAAAGGAACAGCACAAACCTGCAATGCTAAATCCCTTGTAGGTAGCACAACCAAAGCACGCAAGCACCTTACTTTTCGAGTAGCGAGCATTTGAACGATAGGCAAAGCATAAGCAAGAGTCTTGCCAGATCCAGTTGGGGAGTTAATACAGATATCCCTCTCAAAAGCACCAGGACCAATAGTTTCCAGCCATGCTGCTACTTGAACTGGAAAAAATGATTCTATCCCCATTCTCTGCAATGGCTTCACCAACCTAAAGCAGTAAAACATAGCCAACACAGGAGTAAACATGTTAGTATTTCTTAACAGCATGAAGTATTAAAAGCATCCTTTCTAAGTACCTCAACAAAATTAACTGCACTGAAAACGCATTCAAGAATAGCGAGGGAATAAAGGAGATTCGCAAGCAAAACAACTGAAATTACAAACTCTCTTAGAACCAAACAAGATGGGTCATGGGTGCATATGTGTGTTTTAGAGCTAACCGAACTTGTACAAATTCCAACTCTGAATACTCGGACACCAGCTGAACACTATTAGCTTAGTGAAATTACACAACGCCATTGATGTCCAGTTGGAGTAACATCTTATGGTCACACACAAATCGCCTAATCCCAGAATTACAAATCAACCGTGACCAAAAAAAAAAAAAGGAAAAACCTACTTGATAGTTCATACCCCACGAGGATGCAAACTAATTAGCATCCTCACCGCATAGTTATCGACAGCTAAGTTCATTCCATGCATAAAACTTTCACAGTGCCACGACGCCTAGGAGCTCGCGTCCAAGCTAGCGAATCGCTTATTCAAGTGATCGAAAGTATACAAAAAGAGGGGGGTGTGGAGGGGGGGGGGAGCTCACCTGGGATCGAGACGGGGAAGGTGCGCGACGGGGCAGCCGGAGAAGGAGTCGATGTCGACGGGGTTCCGCATCCACGGAAGGTGAGGCACGCGGCTCGACGGCCCACCCTCCTCCTCCTTCGTCGCCATGGCCACCACCATCACACGCCGAGGACGACGATTCAACCGCCAACCAGGGTCGTCGCCGTCGCCGGCGCCGGTGAGTAGAACTCGCACCGAGAGGCGACAGGCGAGGAGGTGAGTAAGCGGCGGCGGCGAATTAGGGCGTGGAGTAGTGTGATGAATTCGCGGAGGCCGCCGCAGCGCGGGGAAGACAACGGGCCATCTTCTCGTGGGCCGCAAGCAAACCAAGCAGGCCACGTTTTCGTGGGCCTCAGGCAAAGTAGACAGGCCGAGAATAAATAGGCCGCGTCTGCCCGTGCGGTGGCCCATTCCATTTCCCCCGGGGTCCACCCGCACCCTTCCCTTCCACCGCAAGCTTTCCCGTTGCGGTGCGGATCCCCCACCTCTTCTCCGCCGCCTCGCTCTCCGGGATGGACCCCTCCGCCGCCGCCGCCGCCGCCGACGACGACGACGACTACCACGCCACCACGGGTGGGATGGAGCCGCGTGGAGAGGAGGACAACGGCGCCAGTACAAGGGGCGTCACCGGTCGGCTACTCGCTTGGCGCGGGGAAGAGGAAGACGACGATGACGCGGAGGATTCGGGAGGAGGGAGCGGAGCAGGCGCCAACGCCGACGAAGACGACGCGGCCTCCGCTGTTTCCCTTGACACCATCAGCAACGACTCGATCCTGCTTCCGCCGGAGCCGACGAGCGCCAACCTGGCGAGCCTCCTCCGCGCGAGGAAGCTGATCCTCGTCGTGGACTTGGACCACACGCTCATCAACTCCACCAGATTCGCCCACCTCTCCGACGACGAGAAAGCCAACGGGTTCACGGAGCGCACCGGAGATGATCGGAGCAGGGGCCTGTTCCGAATGGGGCTCTTCCGGATGATCACCAAGCTCAGGCCGTTCGTCCATGAATTCCTGCGAGAAGCGAGCGCCATGTTCGAGATGCACGTGTACACCCTCGGGAACAGGAACTACGCCACGGCGGTCGCCAAGCTGCTCGACCCCGACGGCGCCTACTTCGGCGAACGGATCATATCGAGCGGCGAGTCGTCGCAGCCGGACAGGAAGAGCCTCGGCGACGTCTTCGGGTGGGCGCCGGAGATGGAGCGAGCCGCGGTGGTCATCCTCGACGACACGGCGGAGGTCTGGAAGGGGTACAGGGACAACCTGATCGAGATGGAGAGGTACCTCTACTTCGCGTCGAGCCGCGGCAAGTTCGGGATCGCGGTGAGGTCCCTGGCGGAGCGGAACCGGGACGAGAGCGAGCGCGAGGGCGCGCTCGCCGTGGCGCTGCGCGTCCTGCGGCGAGTCCATGGGGAATTCTTCTCCGGCTCGGTGTGCAGCGGCAGCTTCGCGGACGTCAGGGAGGTGATCAGGCAGGCGCGGCGCGAGGTGCTGCGCGGGTGCACGGTGGCGTTCACCGGGGTCATCCCAAGCGGCGACGGCGGCCGCGCCAGCGACCACCCCGTGTGGAGGAGAGCCGAGCAGCTCGGCGCCACCTGCGCCGACGACGTCGGCGAGGGGGTCACCCACTTCGTCGCCGGGAAACCGGTCACCCGCAAGGCGCTGTGGGCGCAGACCCACGGCAAGTTTCTCGTTGACACGGAGTGGATCAACGCCGCGCATTTCCGGTGGAGCAAGCCGGAGGAGAGAATGTACCCCGTGAAAGGCGAGCATTGAGGACATTGGAATGGCGGCGGCGGCGACGGGCGGCGGTGCACTGGAATGGCGTTCATGATGCCGTCGAGATCGATATGCTTCGGATCGAAGTTGAGGCTGCCAATCTTGGTCTGGCAATGGTCGTGCAGCGATGTTGATTTTGATTCGTTGGGTGCACTGTATTCTGTAGGAAATCGATCTGGAAATGAACCAATACAGTACTACTGACCAAAGATGATAGCGAACGAGGTAAAGGTTAGAACTCTAGATCAGCGTAAACCATCTCTTGTATTCTTCGATATACGCAGATTCTGATCATATATAGCGACGCCATATGTTTCTTTGCCCGCATTTTTCGGTTGGGCGTCGATCGACTCGATCGCCGATCTCTTTTTAGCAGAAAGTCTTGCGTTCTCTCTCTTCAATGCAACCATCTTTGTCTTGGGAAGTGTCTGGTTATCGTGCGCTTACCGTGGAGTACAGAAAGGATTACCGGTTTGCTAAATGTGTTCGAATTTAAATTTTGGGAAAAAAAACAAAAATCTTTTAAAAGTTGCTAGAAGTAGTGCAACACCTAAGAGCACACATCCAAGCCATTGAATCGGTTGTTCAAGTGAAGTGATCAGGATCGAAGGGAAAGGAAAAAGTACACCGAAGGTCCCTCAACTTGTCATCGAGTTACAGAATCGTCCCTCAACCGCAAAACCAGATATATGACATCCCTCAACTTACAAAACCGGTCACAATAGGTCATTCGGTGGTTTTCACACCAGTTTAATCCTATGTGGCGGCTGAGTCAGCGTGGGACCCATATGCCAATATGCCATGTCTCTCTCCGTTCCTTCTCTCTCTCACCCTTCTCTTCTCTTCTTCGGCAAGCCGGCCGGCGGCTGGGGAGAAGGCCTTCTCCCCAGCCGCCGGCCGGCTTGCCCAAAGAAAGAGAATGGAAGAGAAGAGAAGAGAAGAGAAGAGTGAGAGAGAGAGAGAGGAGGGAGGGAGAGTGACGTGGCATCCTGACACGTGGGCTCACGCTGATTCAGCCGCCACGTAGGATAAAACCGGTGTCAAAACCACCGAAGGACCTATTGTGACCGGTTTTGATTAGTTAAGGGACGCTGAATATCTGGTTTTGCGGTTGGGGGACGAGTTTATAACTCAATGACAAGTTGAGGGACCTTCGGTGTACTTTTTCCTAAGGGAAATGTCACGACTCACGAGCAGCAAGCAAAGCAGGAAGGCCGAGAATAACTGGGCTGCGTGGGCCATGCGGTGGCATTTTACGGGCCCATCCTCCTTCCCCCCGCGGGTGGGAACAAATTGGCACGGCCGCGCCCAATTTCATTTCCCCCCATTTCAATTCATTTCCTCCGGGCACCACCCGCTCCCTTCCCTTCCACCGCACACTTCCCGTTGCGGCGCCGATCGCCAACCTCTCCGGCAGCCTCGCTCGCCGGAATGGACCCCTCCGCCGCCGCCCACTGGTGGGATGGATCTGGGGGGAGAGGTGGAGGACGACGCCAGTGCAGGGGCCGCTCCTAACCCTGGTGGAATCGCCGGGGGAAAGGAGGGAGATCTCGACGCGGAAGATTCGGGAGGAGGGAGCGGAGCAGACGACGCCGCCGCCGCCGTTTCCCATGGCGCCACCAGCACCGACTCGATCGTGCTCCCGCCGGAGCCGACGAGCGGCCACCTGGCGAGCCTCCTGCGGGCGAGGAAGCTGATCCTCGTCGTGGACTTGGACCACACGCTCGTCAACTCCACCGCGGATTACGATATCTCCGGCACGGAGTACGTCAACGGGTTGGCGGAGCTCGTCACAGATGATCCGGGGAGGGGCCTGTTCATATTGGATCATGCCAGCTGGTTCTCGGCGTTCATCACCAAGCTCAGGCCGTTCGTCCATGGCTTCCTGCGAGAAGCGAGCGCCATGTTCGAGATGCACGTGTGTACACCCTCGGGGACAGGGACTACGCGGCGGCGGTCGCCAAGCTGCTCGACCCCGACGGCGTCTACTTCGGCGAACGGATCATATCGAGGGACGAGTCGCCGCAGCCAGACAGGAAGAGCCTCGACGTCGTCTTCGGGTCGGCGCCGGCATCGGCGGCGGAGCGCGCCGCGGTGGTCATCCTCGACGACACGGCGGAGGTCTGGGAGGGGAACAGCGACAACCTGATCGAGATGGAGAGATACCACTACTTCGCGTCGAGCTGCCGGGACTTCGGGTCGCCGTGGGAGTGCACGCACTCCCTGTCGGAGCGGGGCGTGGACGAGAGCGAGCGCGCCGCGGCACTGCGCGTCCTGCGGCGAGTCCACGCGGGCTTCTTCGCCGGCGGCGGCGGCAGCTTCGTCGCGGACGTCAGGGAGGTGATCAGGCGGACGCGGCGCGAGGTGCTGCTCGGGTGCACGGTGGCGTTCACCCGGGCGATCGCCAGCGACGACCACCACTCCGTGTGGAGGAGAACCGAGCAGCTCGGCGCCACCTGCGCCGACGACGTCGGCCCGGAGGTCACCCACGTCGTCGCCACGAACCCGACGACGTTCAAGGCGGTGTGGGCGCAGGTGTTCGGCAAGTTGCTCGTCAACCCAGAGTGGATCAACGCCGCGCATTTCCGGTGGAGCAAGCCCAAGGAGGAACACTTCCCCGTCCGTTGGTAAACCGGATCGAAGTTGAGATTGTCAGTTACCTCGCCACCAGCATTTTCCAGTGTTGCACGTACTGGTATGCCAATTTCATTGCATCGAGCAGTATCGTTTGACAGAAAACCCCCCTTACAAATCTTGCAAATTTTGAACCATCCGATTGCTTTAAGATTCATGCAGGCAACCAAACTCTAAAAATCCTCTCGCCTCTCTCTCTCCCGATTCATCACGCGCCGCCGCTCCTCCGCCCTAGCGCGCCGCCGCCCGGCCTCGCCGGCTGGCCGAATGGTGTCAACGGCGCTCGCGAGGCCCCCCCGACCGGCCCCCTCCCTCTCCCTCTCCTCTCCTTTGCCTCAAGCCGGTGGCGACGAGCTGTCCGTCGTCTTCCCCGTCGCCGGCGGCGGGGCGCCACCACCGGCCGCCTCCTCCCCACTCTTTCCGCTTTGCCCCCGCCGCCGTCCTCCAGCCCCGCGGCTTCAGCGGCGCCGCCGCCGCCCGCCTGATCCGCCGGGCTGCCGCCTCCCACGGCCATCCCTCTAAAGCCGGCGAACTCCCCCTTCTTCCCCCTCCCCCTCCCCCCCACCCCCACCCCACCCTGGGACCCTAATTCGTCAGCCCTCTACCGGAGTTTGGGTTTGCCGGCGCCGGAGAAGAAGAGGTGGTCGCCGGAGTTGGAGAAGAAAAGCACGAATCGTGAAGCACATCTAGTGATCCAAAATTTGCAAGATTTGAGGTAGGATTTTCTGTCGACAGAGCTTTAGCAATTCCGTAAAACTAAACTTTGTGGAAGTATCTATATATTGTCATTCTTTGAGACTCTTATCTTAGCGACATGCATGCATGCATCTAGAAAAAGTGGTTGTGCCTTATATTATGGAATGGAGGGAGTATATACTTTGGTGGAACAGGAAACTATAGCTAATGATGTATTTTGTAAGGTGCAATAACCTAAGTTTTGTATTGGAAATAACGGGATTTATGTCTACATATATACATATGGCACACAACACCATACATCTCATCTAGTTTCTTTAATTATCAGCACTGAGCTCCTTTATTAGTGGGCTTGCTGGAGGCTAGAGCCCAAGCAGTTAGGCTGAGGAAGTGAGGATGGTGCTCGCTGGCTAGTCTGATATGTATACGGGGGCTAAGGACATGATATGTGCTCCCTCCGTTTTACAATATAACACTTTTTAGCATTGCCTATGTACATATAGATGTTAATAAATTTAAACACATACATATGTCTAAATTTATTAACATCTAAATGAATGTGGACAATGCTACAAAATCTTACATTGTGAAACGGAGGAAGTATATGCGATGCGTCGGCTACATCAGAGTTTCATCTCGTTGAGTCTGGGTTTTGATCTTGCACCTTATCTAACGTTTTAAAACTTTGACCTTTTGGTTTCTGCAAACAAATTAAAGACTTATGGGCCTTAGCCTATAGGTTTAGACAATGTAGGCCAAGTTATTGAATTGCCTACAAGTATGAAAGTACCAAATTACCTATAAGTGCAAAAGGCTCGTTCTGTCTACAATCTAACCTTGTCGGTGGTGTAATTATGGGCAATTAGTGTCACCCATCGAACTGCTATTGGTCGGTCAAGTGGGCCATGAATGTGTCATTTTTTTCTTTCCAGCTAAACTCACATAATCGTATATATCATGCCTCTAGATAGGGGCCACGTAATCATGGTAACTCACCGTACCATGGTACCGAGGAGGTACCAATGATAATTTTAGGTATCACAAATATTTTATTGTTGCATTATAGAGATAGTGATATAGTAAGAGTATGATGATATATCCATGGCACCCACTACTTAGAATGTATTCTCTATACCTATCTATACCTATCTAGTTCATCCCCACTTAGTGTAATTGCTACCATTTACCATTTATATGTATTCTCATGCTTCCATATCACATAAATTGATTTGGACCTGCGTTAGCGAAAAAAAAAAGATTCAAACCATTAATTAGATCAGAGCAGTGTGGTCAGATCGATACTAAACATCATGGTCATGACTAGACATAGCTAAAATTAGAGGTAGTAACCACTTCCACTATAAAACTTGCTCTTAGCAAGCTGTCTGTAAGGCTTTTCGGGCCATATCGTAAGAGGTTTGTAGAGTATGAAGTCAATTAAAATGGTTTGGCTAAATTTTGGTGGAGTAAGGAATATGTTCATGTCCTTATATATTTTCACACTAGACAATGTATGAAACATGGGAATTTCGCTATCGTCACGTCATGATACAATAACATCTCTTGTAAATATATGTCCTTTTATTTTTTGGGGAAACATGTTGGCATTGCCTCAGATGTTCAGGTTTGGTTGGCAAGAGAAGAGACAAGAGGGTGAAGAAGCCGACATGTGGGTTCCACGCTGACTCAGTCAGGTTGACCACTATCAAGTTGTCATGTGAGCCAAAACCGGAAACTATACTGCCCTAGAACCAGTGGCGGAGCTAGGTTTGGAGGAGGAGGGGGCTCAGCCTTCTTCTTCCTCCTCCAGCCCCCTCTCTCCCCCCATTTTCTTCTTCCTCTCCCTCTTTTCCCTCCTCTCCTCCCTCACATTTCCATGGAGTCCAGCAGGGTAGGGGGGCTCGAGCCCCCTCCACCGCTGCCTAGGATCTCAGGTACACCAATACACAATTCAAACACGTCAAAGACGAAGGGCTTAAAGTGAACTTATTCCCTCAACGCACGCACAACACTGAATTAAGTGTGGCGAAAACAACGGGAAATCGGCCCATTTCCTATATCCTGGCCCAATATCAATCCATTTTTCTAGGGAAAAAGTGCGCCGAAGGTCCCTCAACTTGTCATCGGGATACAAAAACGTCCTCGAACCGCAAAACCGGATATACAGGGTCCCTTAACTATATAAAACCGATCACCTGAGATCCTTTGGTGGTTTTGACCCCGGTTTTTGTCTACACGGCGGCTGAGTCGGTGTGGGACCCACGTGGACCCCACATGTCAGCGTGCCACATCACCACCCATTACTTCCCCTTTCTTTTTTCTCTTCCTTTTGTTACTTCTCTTTGCCGTGAGGGAGTAGCACACGGAACAGGCAGCAGCGAGCCGGGTTGACCGGCGGTCGACGCAGGTGGCCTACGAGCGCGCGGCGGCCGGCGAAGCGGAGAAGAGCGGAGGCGCGGAGTGGCGGTGGCGGCAGGCGGGCGAGCGTGGTGGCCGGCGTCCTCCTCCTCCTCCACCGCCGCATCGACGGTGTGTGCCCTGTTTCTCTCGGTGGTCGTCGGCGTCGCCATGGTAGTCGTCGGAGTCTGTTAGCAACCCGATGCACCAAGCAAATAGCAACAATATCTAAACCAATTTGAGGTGAAATTGAGCAAGTAGCTGAGTATTACAAGCTTCTAGAAGGTTCTATAGAGGGAGACAGGAAGGGTGTAGTGGCTGGTAGGAAGGAGTAGTGAGGGAGAGAGATCGACAAGGTTCCTGCCCAAACCTGGTCGCCGCTGCCGCCGTGGCCGAAGCCGCCGATTGCCAGTTCTGTTCTATTTCCCCTCCTCTCCTGTAAGCTGCTGTTGCCCTTGTATTGTTTCAGCTTGGGCTTGCTTGGGCTTCTTGGCAACGGGTTGCCTAGCGGCCCATGTGTAGCCCAGCCGAGACCCTGACAATCCCTTCTTCTTGAAATTCGGCTTGTCCCCAAGTCGATGAAGAAAACCTCCTGGATCGAATGATGTTTGAAGTTCCTCTTGTAAAACTTGATGCTCAAGTACAGCAACCATACCAATCTGTGTAGGAGCATCAGATAACCAGGCGTTGCATAGCATGATCAACCATGCATATATCCCAGTCATTACCACCATATGATTGTCCCTTCTTGGATTGAATTCAAGTAAACCGGCCATGGAGAATCTGGATAGTACTGCACTAAATGTATTCCACTCCACCACCAGTATAACCTCATGTATCTCCTCTGATGCATGTACTAATCTTAGCCCACTAGAAAGAAACTGAGGATTGATAGACAATTCGGTGAGCACTTGCCATGCAACTGTAGCTATCAGTTTTGTATACTGTAGAGAGTATGTGTGTCGCTCAATAATCTGATCCACTAAATGTGTTTCAGCCACCTGATTAAGCAAGAAAGGCAATTGATTTCCATACTTTATTCCATAGTTATCGGTGTTCTGTTGGCTATACATGCATTCTTCACCTTGGATGACATTTGCATTAGTTGGCAACAAGCAATCTAAAGTATTAGCCAAGATGAGCCCTTGAGCACCACTACTGTGTAAAGCCAGATCTGGGATTTTCTTGAGTGCATCACTGTAGATATCATCCAAGTTTTCTTCACCTTGGAACTTCCATGCATAAGGTTTCAGATAATCATTTAGCTTTGCCGGCTGGAACGAGGCCTTCATCACCTCCCGCACCGCCACCGGCTGCGCGCGGTCGACGAGCATGGAGAGGAGCAGTGACAGGTTCTGCTTCAGCGTGCGGAGCGCCGGGCGGATGCGGGCGTCAGCGACACCGCCGACATAGAGCCCATCGTAGAACGAGTGGTGCGAGTCGAGGAAGATGAGGCGGTACGCGGCGACCTCGGCGACGTGTCCGACCGCGGATTGCGCCGCGGCGCGCGCGCGGTCGAAGTGGGAGCACGGCGCGAGGAGGCGGGCGGTGGCGGCGGACGACGACGACGAGCACCTGCCGCGGGAGAAGAAGGAGAGCGACTTGTCGAGCGCGTGGACGTGGCTGAGGATGAAGTGGAGCGTGTTGAGCCGGACGTAGAGGCGCTACGTGCCGCGGCTGGTCGACGGGCGCGGGTTCTGGCCGCCGGACGCCATGCCGCCCTGGCCTTGGTGGTGCCCGTGGGCGCGCGGGCTCGACACGGGCACCTGGCACGGCGTCGCCACCTTCTTCCACAGCCTGATGATTATCGAGTCCTGGTTGCACCTCGTCAGCGGCGGCAGCGACGGGCACGCACCGTGTCCTTCCATTATCCCAGCTACCCGCGTTCTCACAATGGAGGCACCGTGGAGTTCATGTCTCTCGGCCGGAGCAAGAACGCCATCGTCGGCATCGAAGAATGGCTACACTACTTATTCATCCAATCACAGAATCTCCAATATGATATAGTACTACTATTTACTAGTATAGGAATGAATATTCAGGGTTAGTCGTACACTCATACCATAAACTACTACTTGCATGCTCCATGGCTATCACAATTGTATGACAAAATGAAGATCCACTTTCTTGTCTCTCATGCTCGTCCTCAACTGAAACAAGACCTCCAAAAAGCTTCAGGATCAACCAAACCATTACATACACAACATACAGACTATAAACCTTCACAATCATCGATCACAGGCTATAAACAATGACGAATCAAGCAATAAAAAGGAGATTTTTTTAAAAAAATATCATATTTTCACGGTGTCTGGTGTCGCTAGCGGCGAAGAACGGCGGCCTGTACGTCATGGAGATGTATCCCCGGGGAGACGGCCATGTCACCTTCGAGGTGCTCGCCTACGGCCGCCACAGCCAGCCGCCGCCCGCCTACGTCGGCAGCAGCGGCTGGGCCAGATGCAGCATCCAACTCGAGGACTGGCACTGGCGCGCCCTCCCGCAGCCTCCCTACGTGCAGTACCCGGGCTACGAACGCGACGAGGCGCCGCCGTGAAACACCCTTATTACAATATCACGGCGACCGCGGTGGTCGGCGACTCACGTCTCTGGATATCGACGGAGGGCGTCCGCACGTCCGCCTTTGACACGGTGCGAGATACCTAGAGCAAGCAGGGCGAGTGGGCGCTGCTGTTCAGGGGCAACGCCGAGCACGTCGCGGAGCACGACCTCTGGTTCGGCCTCTCGCGCCACGGCGACAAGCTGTGCGCCCTGCGGCAGCACCCACCACCCTTTGACCGCTTGACGCGGAGCTCCCCGCCGGCCTCCTCCCCTCCCCACCCGCCGGTGGTCTGCAGAGAGAGAGAGAGAGAGAGAGAGGAGGAAGGGAGAGAAGATGGGAAATAAAGGGTGGTGACATGGCACACTGACATGTGGGGTCCCACGCTGATTCAGCCGTCACGTAGACCAAAATCGGGATCAAAACCACCGAATGATCTCGGGTGACCGGTTTTATATAATTAAGAGATACCGTATATCTGTTTTTACGGTTCGAGGACGTTTTTATATCCGATGACAAGTTGAGGGACCTTCAGTGTACTTTTTCCTTTTTCTAGTGCACATGAAAAGGACAATTTCAAAATTGAGATTTTGCGAGCAGGGGCGATCTGTGGCCGTCCATTCGTTGTGGACGTTAAATCGACCCCGTCGATTTGTGATAGAGGTTACGCCGCATCTGCGCGACCCGCTACCACCCACACATCTTCCCGTCTCAAAACAAAAAGAAACAAAAGAAAAAAAAAATCCCCATTTCTCTAAAAATCTAGAGGCTTCTTCTCTTCTCCTCTCTCTCGTTCCCCTTCGTTTCGATTCGTCTCGCCCAAATCTTCAAATCCAAATCCGCAGCGGAGGCGGCCGGGGCGCGGCGGCCAGATCCTGGAAGAGAATCCATTCCGGGAGGGGAATCCGCGCATGCCAATGTCGGATCCCACGGCGGCGGTCATCCCCAAGCCGGGGGGCATCGGCGTCGGCGGCGGAGGCGGCGACGACGAGGAGCCGGTGGAGATCCGGGAGGTGTGGGCGGACAACCTCGAGGAGGAGTTCGCGCTGATCCGCGACGTCGTCGACGAGTTCCCCTTCGTCGCCATGGACACGGAGTTCCCTGGCATCGTGTGCCGCCCCGTCGGCGCCTTCCGCTCCCCGGCCGACTACAACTACGCCACGCTCAAGGCCAACGTCGACATGCTCCACCTCATCCAGCTCGGCCTCACCTTCTCCAGCCCGCGCGGCGAGCTCCCCGCGCTCGGCCCAGGCCGCCGCCGATGCGTATGGCAGTTTAATTTCCGCGAGTTCGACGACGCCCGCGACATCTTCGCCTCTGACTCCATTGAGCTCCTGCGCCGTAGCGGCATCGACTTCCGCCGCAACTCCGAGCGCGGCGTTGACGCTCGCCGGTTCGCGGAGCTGCTCATGTCCTCTGGCGTCGTGCTTAACGATTCTGTATATTGGGTCACCTTCCACGCGGGCTACGACTTCGGGTACCTGCTTAAGATCCTCACATGCAGCAGCCTACCGGACACGCAAGCCGGCTTCTTTAAGCTCATGAAGATATATTTCCCCACCGTGTATGACATCAAGCACCTCATGAAGTTCTGCAATAGCCTGCACGGTGGGCTGAACAAGCTCGCCGAGCTCCTTGACGTGGAGCGCGTCGGAGAGTCCCACCAGGCCGGTTCAGATAGCTTGGTCACTTCATGCGCGTTCTGGAAGCTCAAGGATTCGTTCTTCGCTGGCTCTACCGAGAAATATGCTGGAGTGCTGTATGGGCTCAATGCGGAGAATGTTGTCAGTGCGCATTGATGGATGGTACTCCTCTTTGAATTTTAGCTTTGTGAATGGATTGATTTAGGACAGAAAATGTGACAAATGATCAAGATGATGTTATGTAGGTCAAGTTTGTCTCACTCCATTTGGGTTTAATGTGATCCTAGTGTTCTTCAGTTATTCGCGATGAAATAGTGAACTGTATTTATGTTAAGTTGTTCTGTCCGCTTTCATTTTCTCCTACCTGGTTTAGTTAGATAGGAAAGAAAAATCACCTTTAAGGATTAGGAGATGGTAAAATGAATATATTTTGTTGCTGTTTTGTCATTGATATGTATAGCATGGAAGCTGGTTGTTTCCAAAGAGTGGGGTGCGGGTACATCAAAGTGCTCAAACATGTAACTTGATAACATTACAATACAATACACAGAGCGCGACCTCTCTTCACATGGGTATTTTAGATGCTGTTATTTTAATTTCCCAGAATAATTAGTTACTCTAATATGTATCCTTCTAGAGAATAACACAATGCAATATTGAGAATAAGGGCATCTCTCTATTTCGACTTTGTGCTGCAGTTTTTGGTAATCTGAGGTAATGCTATCTGGTCTACATTGGAAGCCTGGAAACATTTACGGTTTTCAGCCAAAGTTTTCTACTATTTGTTCATCAATTCAATTATCCAGTAAGCCTACTGCCTAGCGAATAGTTCTGGGCTTCTGGCCAATGTTCACTAGGCAAAACCTCTGTACTCCATGGAGTAAAACTACAGTGAAATCCTGCAAATATGCAAATTCTGCAGATTTGCTAACAAAATATTAGATACGCATCTAGCTATATGTGTCTCTTGATCCAGCAATTAAGTCACAATGATGCACAGAGCATGAATACTAGCAGTTTACTTTTTCCATAATAGGTTGTGGGTTACAGTAACAAATATGCATGTCTTGAGACAGTGATGCTGATACTATTTCCCTTGCCTTCCTGCAACACTTGGATTGAATTTCTACTTATCCAACTTATATTCTAGATACAACATTGATCCATTTACATTCTTTGTGAAAAACTTATCATAACTAGATGAGCTTTGACCACAAGTTACATCATTCCCTGCAATTTAATAGCATCAGATTATTTCATTGCTGGATGTACCGGACCACTCTTTTTTGCTTTGCAACTAGAATATTAGTTCCTTTGGCACTAACATGTCCTCAAATGTTGCATGTGGAGATGAAATCTAGGGCATTTAATTAAGTTACTAACGAGTTTATTTACAGGTTCTGTTGGAACCCAATTTAGAGAAGAATCTAGTTAGCTACATCTTCTCGTTTTATTAAGACTCAACTTGGACACTACCTTAATCCCGGTTGATTGCCATTGTCCAGTTTATTTAAATTCATGTATATAATCGGTCCTTCTTAAGTTCGGACATTGTTGGAGAGCTATTCTGAATAAAGGTAATGGTGGCTAACAAGAAACAAGGTAAGGATTGTTAGAAACTGGAGAAGTTTGGGTGCCAAAAAGCTTCAAAAGTATTGAAATTGTCTAATGTTTCATATTTTGCAGGTAAACCTGATAATACTTTCCTAGTGTATCATTTTTTAACGGGATGCATTTCTGGTGTTAAAATGTGGTACTCGTCATGCCAACTTGTGCATGGGTTCAATTTGAAGACTGAGAAGCCTTGTGCACGCATGAACTTTCTTCATCACAGATTGATGGCAGCAGCAGCCTATCTCAATTCCCCAAATCTCCAGGGATGAGATCAAACCATCTGCATTGCACAAGCTTCCTCCCATGGATAATGCAAATGTGTAATGCTTATGCAATTGTAATGTGTAGTGTTAAACAGTTGTGGTCATTTTTGTGAGATCTGAATACTGATTCCATAAATCGGGGCTGGCCAGAAACAAGTGCTTATTGCATCCAGAGAACATGTTTTCAGTTTGCCTCACAATTTCACTAAAAATATCAGTACAGATTTGTTAACCTCCAAAAAGGGAACACAGAAGGCGAGCTAATATGCAAGTTTACATCATGCAAAGAAATGGCCTGAAGTTTACATTAGAAAGAATTAACATTTTTCCTGTCAAGTCTCTATTGACAATGAAAATCTTAAGCAGGCAGGAGTCGTTCTATCATCCCTGGCTTACCGTCAAGATCTTTTTCTCAAAACACCGTAATTGGATCAAAAGTTCAAAACAGTTGCCATCTTAAGTAATGCAGCGCAGTGCACTGTTCACCCTCTAATCTGCAGGTTCTTAGTGTAATTCTGCGTTTTTTGGCTGCAACCACAAAGACAGTCGGGTGAGTTATATTTGCCGTGTGTGCTCATAAGCAGCAACTGTTCATAGCCTACCCATTTACTTTTCACGTGATGTCTATCTTGCTGGCACGTATGATCAATTGGTCCATTTCTTCGTCCATATCTATTTGATCTCCTGCTATCATCTGAGGAATATTTTGTGGCACAATGTCAGCATTAATATATGCCCCAAGCAATGACTTGTACAGGGGCAAGCTTGTCAAGTTGAACTTTTGAAGAACCTTTATGAATCTATCTGCATCCTCCACACTGCCTTGCTCCTCGAAATACTTTGCAATGGCCTCCAACAGCTCAAGTGGAGGTCTCCAGTGGCAAGTCTTCAACAGAGATAAGCCCTTCTTCATGGCATTGACAGCTTTATCCATCTGCTTACTCTGAACAAATCCCTCCATCAGTATCTCCCAAGTCTTGTAATTCGGATGCGCACCTTTCTCTAGCATGTGGAGATGAAGCCTCTCAGCCTTTTCGATCCATCCATTCCTCACATAAGCACCAAGGAGAACATTTGAAACCCGCACATCGTGCTTCTTGCTTTCTGCTTCCCAGCTTCCAAAGGTCCACTCGGCCCGACCAATGTCGCCAACTTTTATCAAGCATACCATAGCAGACATGTAGTTTGCAGCAGGGATTCTACCTGGAACAATTTTACTAGCCTCCCACAGCCTAATAACCCCATCTCTGTCATTCAGGGCTGCATAACATGTCATAATGAAAGAGTACCCTAAACGCCCTGTTGATGACAACTTTGTTTCAGCCGTTCTAAGGCAAGCAAGAGCTTTACTGCTCTGTCCATACTTCTTGAAGATGTTAGCTAATGTACAGTATGTGCTCCAACCAACCTCAACCATGTCATCATTCAGCATCTCCTTGAATGCTGATTGTACTGAGGCTAAGCCAGAGACCTCAGCACATGCATTCATCCAAATGTTGTAGGACAGAACATTTCTTGGAATGTTGTTCCGTTTCATCAGATAAATTACACTAAGGACCTTCTCATACTGGCACGTTGCAACATATAGTTTCATAATTTCATTGAAAGAATGAGGATCGACAGGCAGTCCATATCTCTGCAGCTCAGCCATGAAGGTTTCAGCTTTCTGCACATTTCTTTCTGTAACATAGCAATGGAGAAGCGGGAATGACGCGGCCTTCTTGGAAGCAGCAGTACTTAGTTTTCTGTAGTACTCCTCAGCTTGAGAAGTACCATGAACTTTTGCAATCAAATCCAGTCTAACCATATGATCTGAGGGCGATAGTCTAAAATCATTGTGCGAGTCCATCCATGATAAAATCTGCAGCATAATAAAATTCCGTTTAGGTAGTGCCCCTTGCATCGCCACTGCGCGATATAGATTGGAACAGCAATAAACATTCAGCTGAGCTGTGCAAGTGTGTCAATAAATCATATAACAAAGAGTGAAACAATGTTCACTTTGCAGCATAACATTATAAGGAATTATTAAGAAGTTTGAATCAAATTGTTGCAAAGGTGAAAAAGACTCCTATGTCCTATCTGTATCAGATTTTTCTCGGTTCAAATTCGTTCATCAGGTAGAGCTGTTTGGAGTGTGCTCACCTCCAGGGCTTGCTCGTAGCGGCGCGCGCGGCGAAGCCGGACGACGTCACGGCGGAGCTCCGGCGGCGAGACGCGGCCGCGCTCCCGAGCCCATCTCTCGACGGCGGCGGCCGCGGCGGCGCGCCCGCTCTTCCTCGGGATCCGGAGGAGGCACCGCGACAGTAGGTCGCCGCCGTCGCCGTCCTCGCGAGCAGTCGCCGGAGGAGCGGAGGAGGAGGAGGAGGAGCAGCAGAAGGGTCTAGGGTTTGGGCGGGAGGCGCCGACGAGGAGGGCGAGAAGGCGCGAGCGGCGCACGACGGCGGCCATGGGCCCAAACAATCCATGGGCTTGCTTGCTTTAAGAAAGTTTACCTTCTTCTCAATCCCTTTTTTTAAAAAAAAAATTAGTAAATTTCAGAAAACTGCAACTATAGTCATAAAACTGTAGTGTGCTGCAACATTAGTGATCTATTTCAGTTTGCTGTAATAATAACGTGGAAAATTATCACAAAATTACAACTTTTACGTGATATGCGTAGAAGTTACAGTTTCGTGATAATTTATCACGCTATTGTTCTAGCAAACTGGTAGTTTTGTGACTATAATTGCAGTTTTTTAAAATTTACTCAAAAAGAAATGAAGTGATAGCATAAATTTGTATCTCAATTATAGTGGATGAAAATTTAGACATGTTTTTAAAAGGCTAACTCATACGTGAGACCTAACCGGATTCTACAACTTCAGTTTCGCTCCCAATTATTTTAGATAATAGATTAAACCGGCCTCTGCATCCAAACATATATGCACAGCCAAGAAGCTCCCCAAATATATGTCCTAAAATGTAAATCCAGCCGCGCCACGGCTGTCTGTGCCAAACCAGGACGAGGAAGAAGAAACTGACAGTAAGCTCAGGTTTATACAAGCCATCAATGTCTCTCTTTCTAGGTCGAGTTGGCAACCCATCTCGTCCTCCAGATTACTACTACAATACATATATTGACATAGATACACAGGCCTAGACTAGATTACATCACAAACTAACACTGCTAGCTAGTACACAGCATACAATGGGGGGACATGTACACAGATGCAGACGAGAGATCTGTCATATGCAAGCTCCAAGGGAGTAGAAATCGCCGCACCCCAGGTCGTCGCTGAAGGTAACATCATCCTTCTCCTGCATGGAAATCGAGTGTCAGATAGCGAAACAGCGCCGTCAACAAGATGACTATTGCTTCTGATGGTCTTATCATCAGCGAAAATGGTTCAATAAGTTTGCTGGTATGTGTCACTTTTGTGTAATCTTAATATGGATGTCATGGTAAAAAAAATTAGGTGAAGGAAAAAATCCTTACCACTTTGACTATGGAATTGAGAAGGCCGTCGAAGCTGCAGCTGCTAGAGCTAAGTTCGCTCTGAAGTTTCGGGATGCTCAAATCGGAGGCGTTCTTCGGCATCGCCATATCTCCCGAAACGAGGAAATCTGTCTTCATTTGTGGGATAACTGTTGAACCACTTGAGGTTGCTTGCCCAATCATTCTGGCACCAATATTGCTACTGTTACTACTGCTATTGTTCCATCTTTGGCTCATAGCATGATGAGCCCCAATGTTGCTTGCCAATTGAGAGCTCGGTACAGAACTCCATACGAACTTGAGATCAAACAGACTGTCTGCAGTCCTATCATCGAACTTCTGTTTCAAACCGTTTCCACCTCCAAAATTCAAGTACTTTTGCTCTGTATCTGGAGGTAAAAGCATCGCGCCACCAAAAGAGCTAGCTCCACCTTTTGTGTCTCTTGCTACCATAAGGTCATTTGAAGAGCGAGCAGGTGCACACGATGAAGATGTACCACCCAATTTGTTTGCACAGGTATTGTTAAACGAACCATGGATTAGCAACCCGTTGGCGGAAAATCCTGATAAAGGAATAGTACTCTGCTGGGATACACGAGATTCAAGCAGACCAGATGAAACTCCAACGGCGCCTTCAATATGTTCTGAACTTACAGAGGAAGTTCGAATTGATGGCTGACTGACAATTTTGGCTTGTGTGCACTCGGCTAGTTCTTGAGGCAGCAAAGGACTGCTTGTGACACTTTGGAGTGTGCCAGACATACCATTAGATAGGCCATTCCCAGAAAGGATGGTGGACAGATCATCGGTTTCTTCATGGATCCACTTCTGTTGCATTTGGGTCTGCCCAAGCGATGTTGCCAAACCTTGTCCCAAGTTTCCTTTCTGGTTTCCTGGTAAGCTAAGGTGGTACTTATTTGCATCATTAATGGAATGGCTCAATGTATGGCTTCCGCTCATAGTCTGAATCGATTTTGAAGCAGGTACCCCCTGAGTTCCAAGAGCTGCTGGATTGTTTCTAGGACTGTTTAACAATCCATGTGGAGTAAAAGATGATAGAGCTGCGGAAGAGGTAAAAGCTTGATAACCCTGTAGTCCTTCAAATCCACCCATGTGCAGAAAGGGGTCTCTACCTCCCAAAGCAGCAACGATGCTAACTTGTTGCGACGCCACAGCGCTTAGCCGTTTGAGATAGAGCCTGTACTTCTGCGTGGTACACAAAGCTTGAGATTAGACTCTGCAAACAAGTTGTAGTGTTTATCTGTGAACAATTTGCTTTTAGTGTCTCAGCATGAGTCACAGAATAGCACCGGAACTTGTTTTTGGTTCACCATATATGTGGTTGCTAAATCTGCTAGAAGGTTTAGAGAAGTGCTGAAAAATGTACGGCCTTTTCCTCAACTTAAAGGCCACTCATTTAATTGTTACAGAATCTGCTCTTGGAAGCAGAGGGGCAAAGTACACAAGACTCAAGTTAGAATAGGCCTTAAATGTGTAATAGCTCTGTGTTGATAAAGGATGCCACAGTGACTTTCTATCAGCCATATTTAATACAGTATTGTAAAACAGTCAGCGCACAATTCATTGGTATTGAAGAACTTCTGAATTCGGTTAATATTTCTTCAGGGCCTTAGTAAAGTTGAAAGATGGTCTATCTTAAGCTATAGTTTCCTCTGAACAGTAAAAACTTGTAGTGCAATTAATTACAATAGCTGCTAGCTGTGGTACAGATTTGTTCTATTCAAATTACATCATTACCAGTACATGCTAATAAATAGAAGATAGTGAAATGAGTTCCTTGCCTGTAGGTGACTTGCAACATTTTCCCTTGTGAGTTTCTCAACATTCATGAGCTCAAGTATCCTTTTTGGCACAGCCTCTGCATAAATAGAAAAAAATTATAATCTCATCTTTTCACTTATGCTTATGCTTATTAGCCAAAAATTGAATTTTCAACCTTAAATTTGGAGTTGATTTTGGGGTTTTTTTCATCGTAGTTTATTTTTTAGCCTTTGCTTTTAGATCGTTAAGAACACGTATATAAAAGTTTTATTCACAAATTATTTTTCATTTGCAAATATGTCGTTTAGTTTTTTCCTCCAATATGCCAAACGATGGGGCCGTTTCTCTCTCTCTCTCTCCAAAAAGGAAAAGATTAGGGTGTAACATGAGTCACCATAAAAAAATTGTGAACAGCAAAATGGAGGCAGTGGTGAGAACATACTGTCAATTCCAAGCTGGTTGACAGCAGCGACAAATTTCCGGTGTAGTTCAACTGACCAAACAACTCTCGGCTTCTTTGGAGCCGAGGGATCATCAATATCTTGAGTATTGACCTCACCCTCATCCTCCTCTTCACTACAGTACTCCTTCCTCTTCTTGCTGGGCCTCCCACTTTGATCAGGTGATCCACATGTAACATGGCCATGCACATGGTCTGAATCCGCATTTGGTGGCTTGTTGCACTCTTCATAGAAATCGAGATTAGCACGGTCGCGAGTACTGAATTTCCTCCTGATAACATGCTGCCAGATATTCCTGAGCTCTTCGATTCGAACAGGTTTTAGGAGATAGTCGCAGGCACCATGGGTTATCCCCTTCAATACAGTTTTGGTCTCTCCATTCACAGATAACACTGCAAGGAAATTACTAATTGGTTAACATCAACATTTCCCCCTACCCGTCATAGAAGGAAATAAGTACAGTACAGTGCTCAGGATTTGCTGAATAAACTGAAATTGAATTGATGCTCTGCAGATACAAGAAAAATCTTCACTCACAGTGGCTATTACTATCAAGAACAGTTGAACTGGATTATTGGATAGCTCTGAGAAGGGATAAGATTCATGACTTACTGATGACAGGGAGGTCCATTTCAAGCCCCACAAGCTCAAGAAGCTTAAAGCCGTCCATGTCTGGCATATGGACGTCGCTGATAACTAGATCAAACATGTCCCTGTTTTCCCGCAGCATTTTCAGCGCGATAGCAGCCTGATTTGTTGTCGTCACTGGAAAAACAAAACAAAAATTACTCTTTCAAGTGAATAGCTGTTGAAGATACAGGAAGGCATCTGCGACAACAACAATTCACCCTAAACCCCCCCCCCCAAAAAAAAAAAAAATTGCAGCATGCATTTCTTTTATCAACAATGACACCATAAATCCAGATCATGTAAACAATTTACAACTAGACATCTCTGTAGCTGCATGCAGCATATATAGTATACGATAACTTCATGAAATATTTTATTGAATAAACATAAAGCATTAGGCAAAATTCTGAAGAACATACATATAGACATCTAACAATAAAATTTGTAAGAATTGATATTGCTGTTCCAAGACAAAAAAAAAAACCAAGACTGAACTGCAAAAAGAAAAGAAGAAGTATTTACCATGATACTGGCAGCGCAGCAGCAGGGTCTCGAGCACCTTGAGACACACCGGGTCGTCGTCGACGGCGAGGACACGCATACCGACGGGGAACTGGTCCCTCCTCCTCGCCGCCGGCACCACACCCTTCCTCTCCTCCGCCGCCCTCATGGCAACAAAAAACCTCCCAATCCAATTCACAGCACAAAACCCAAGAACAGCAAGAAACCTCCCAATCGATGAAGCAAATCAAGAACAAAAACCAACCACCTTATAACCAAAGTTGCAGGATGCTGGGAAGCAGATGTGGGCAGGGGAAGATTGGGATTCAGCTTCAAGGCAGGCCTCCCAATCCCCAGCAAGAAAGCAAAGGCAAAGAGCCCAAAGGTACAAAACCAACAACCTACTACTACTGCTCCTGCTGCTGCTGCTGCTCCCCAACTAGAACAGGAAAAGAGAAAGGGAGAAGCAAAATGGAAAGAAAGAAGCTGGTGGTGGATTTGGACAGGGAGAGGAGAGAGCTGGAGAGAGTGGGCATGGAGCTTCAGGACCAAACCCACCACCATCTCCACCACCCCATCATTATTGAGGCAAAGAGGTGGGAAAGCAAAAGGGAGGGAGTTGGAGAAGAAAGCAGAGTTCTCTCTCTCTCTCTCTCTCTCTCTGCAGCCAAAAAAATAAACTAAAAAAATGGGAGGAAAAAAGCAGAGACACTGACTGTTCCAGATGGCCAAGCAAGCAAGCAACCAACCTCAGCTTCAGCTCACACACATGTGAACTACTCCTAGCTCAGCAGCAGCAGCCACCACAACTCCCAGCAAGAAAACAAGAGGAGATTGGAGCAAGAACAGCAAGAACATCTCAAGGGAGAAGAAGATGAGGGAGAGAATGTAAGTAGACTGTCCATCTGTCTGAATTTTAAGGGGTCAAAAATGGTGGAGGGCAACAGAAATTGGGGCCCATTTCATCCACAAGCTCCAACCGATCGCTACAGACGAAACGCCATCCCTCTGTAGTCTGTAGTATGTACTACCCCGCACCGGCGAAATTCTTGCGTCTGTAAATTTTGTATTGTATCTCATGTATCAATTGGACGGGGCAAAAAATAATTTTCCATGAACATGTTAAATTGGTACTAGTAGTAATGTTTTTTTTTCTGAGGCCTTAAATTAGTAGAAAATGGGCATTCCATATGACAATTCCGTATCTCATTTTTAACTTTTTTTAAAAAAAATATCATTATTTTTTTGAGAATTTTTTTGGAACAAATTTTCTGATTAAAATGATCCAAACTTTTAAGAGTTGTGGAAACGGATGAGACACATCTCGATCACACAAGTGAATATAGCATTGCAAGCTAGTAGTATCAACTTGCCACGCACAAATGAATAGTATCGCACAGTGACTGTACTCCTACATTGAGGGCCTTTTGATTTGGAGAAAAAAAAATATAAGAGTAGGAGTTTAGGATGATTCCAACCCTATAAGAAAATTTCCTAGGAAACCCTTTAAAATAAAGGATTGAATCATATTGTATGCTTTAAAATTCCTATAGAATGAATAATCCTAGAAAGATTTTGTGAAGAAAATTTAGCAAGAGTTTCAACCTCTTAGAAATTTTCCTTTGAATCTATCCCTTTATAAGATTATTGTGTTTTTCCTGTGATTCAATGAAATGGTTATTCTTGTGTTTCTCCTATATTTTATAATCCTCTGTTTTGTACATGCAATTGTTATTAGAATTATACGTTTTTTTTCTATTTCTTCCCTTTTTTTTCATTGGCCCCTACGGAGTACCACCAAACAGTATAATACCATATACATATTTACTGCTTGTATAAAAATACTGTAGTAATTATAGAGAAGCGTACACGAACAGAAGACATATGCTTGCCTTAACAACTTTAGATTCTTCACACGGTATACCACTACTGCAGCTGGGCCCCAAATTATAATCATCCAATGGAGCAAACAAAGACGACCTGATCTCTGGATCTACAAGTAGTTAATGGTAAAACACCATTAACCCCAAAGTAAAACTCCCCTTAAATGCGTGCCTTTAATTGACGCCATTTACTAACGCTTTTAATAACCATCCATTAAAGCTTTGGATGATTGATTGGAAGGGGGCACCACTCCCTCGCACACGAACGAGATTACGAGATGAAGATTGTCACGAAAATGCCCGACCGACCGAGCGTGCTTTTTTGTACGGTCTCATTTTCTAAAACATGATATAAACGAAGACGCTCATAAACACACATCATATCCTTATTAGCATCTTTAAAATCCTAATTTAATTACTCCCTCTATCCAAAAATATAATGTACAATCATGTTTTTTCATGCCTCATAATATAAAACATATGCGTATATATATTAACTAGCACCTCGATCCTCTAAATTTGGTTTGTTTTAAACCATCGAGCTCTTCAATTATATTGCTTGTATGCATGAATGCGATCCAACCAATGAGAATGATTAAGGGCCAGTTTGTTTTGAGGCCTAAATTAGGCTTGCCAATTTTTTTGGCAACCTTAACAATAATTGTGTATGTTTGGATTGAAGCCAAATTTTGACATGCCTATATAACATAGGCCATTTTAATAGCCAAATTAGTTTAATTTGGCTTCAATCCAAACACATGTTGGCCTTACCAAAAATTGGCATGCCAAAACTTGTCAAAATTGCCAAATTTTGGTAAGGCCAACATTGGTCACAAACCAAACTGGCCCTAATTTTTTTTCTTAATCTTTATGTTACGAGTGGTGAGCATTTTTTTTTATAGATGGAGTAGCATCTTTGAAAGACTGGACTAATATAACTTAGGATTGATAAAGTAACACGTGTATATTGTCACACATTGAAAAATAATAATTAGACGTAAATACAAGCATCTATATCAAGTCCAGGACTTGAACTCATGTGAATCGGTTTCTAATCAATTGAGTTATGCTCACTTCACCATACGATATTATTCTAACCCTATATAAAATAATAATTCTAAATCATTTCAATCTTGTATTACCATCTCCACTAAATAATTAGAATGACAAAAACAATCGATCATCGGTTAAAGTGATAGTAGTTTTAGATATTGTTTCCGACCGTTTTCACCCCTAGCGGCGCACACACAAATCACCTCTATTTCCCGTGCTCGCGCGCGCGCGCGCGCACGGTGGGGGCGGCCACACGGGGGGTCGTGGGGGTGTCGATGCGGTGGTTTTTCGCGCGCAGCCAGCCCCCTTTGTCGTCTCGTCTGCCACCCACGTCCCCATGGCGCTGCTGCTGCTGCTGCTCCTTGCTGCAACCTGCAACTCTGCAAGGCCAACAAGACAAGCGGAGGCAGCAGTAGCAGGAGGGCATATGCCTCGTTTCCCGGACTCTCCTTCCATCTCATCCCTTGGTTGACCCATGGGTTTGACCATCTCAACCGTTGATTGATCCCACATTTTTTTAAGCAAAAGGTATAGTCAATGAGTACTCCCTCCATCCTAAAATATATTCCATATCTCAAAATATGAAGAATTTTAAATAGATAGGACATTTTCTAGTACTATGAATCTGGACAGACTCTCTGTACAAATTTATTTAACTATCAAATGTTCCATCTGTTTAAAATCTCTTATATTTTAGGATGGAGAAAAAGTAAATAGTATTGAATAAGAAGAAGAGAGTATAAATAAACAATAATTATGTGCGTTAAAAAGGAGGTTGTATACAATAAACAATAGTTAATTAGTATTTAATAATTGAACGGTTAAACATTTAAAGACACTAAGGCAAAGATGGTACTACACTAAGCTTAGTATTTGCAAATGGATTAATTATGTGGACTAATAAGTGTTTACACTCATATACTGCCAGGACATGAGAGAGGAGACTGTAATTTGTAAATAGCTGCATGTGTGGGTTTCTTGTCATTTTGTTCATCTTTCTCGTGAAGTTTTTTGCGTGAAAAGGGGAAAACTGGACGTGCCGGTATAAAGTGAGCCAGTACTACAATTCACTGCCTATATATGCCACGTACTCGATCCAACCTGCTACGTTGAAAACTTTTGCGTCCATGACTCACTGCACGTTGCTTCCGGCGATGAACTATCAAGCGTCATATGCATTCACGTAAGCTATATATATATATATTATTCCCTTCTCCTAAAATATAAAATATTTTATATAAATGTAATATATTTAGGATCATAAATCTGATTTGACTTTCTGTTAAGATTTATAGTCACACACCCACCTATTTTTTTTTCATATTTTAGTACGGATGGAGTATATGTATTGGCCCACATCAATTTAAGTCAGATAATGCATCAGGTGTTTGCATGCTTAATTACGACCGTTAATTGTGACAGCGGGGCATACATGGCTACCTTCAATACGGGTCAACATTTACTGTTCACTTCTTTTTAAAGCCCGTTTGAATGCGAGAAATTGTATGTGTTCACTTCACGTGGAAGTATGAAATAAAATATACTAGGATACCTCCTCTCCGGAACGCAAAACGATATTTGCATTAACATGTGATTAATTGAATATTAGCTATTTTTTAAAAAAAATTGATTAATATGATTTTTTAAGCAACTTTCGTATAGAAACTTTTTTTTAAAAAACGTACCGTTTAATAGTTTGAAAAACGTGCGCACGGAAAACCATGATAGGGAGTTGGGAACTCCCAACAAAGAACGCACCCTAATTAAGTACTCTTTTATATTCATCACCATATAAAGTACTTTCATAAACTATACACGAATTTCTATTAGTCAATGATAAAAAAAATTAACTGGCTTAACACCAAGTAATTTAAACGGAAGTAATATATATGTTTTAACTTTTATTAAAGGTGACTTTTTATACTAATTTAAGAACGTGTTCAACCTATAACCTATACATATATGTATCGTTAGCAAACTCCTTTTTTTATGCCATACATGACTTGTGTGTCGCATAAACATCCGCGAGCACCCAATAGTACGATGATAACACTAAATTAATATTCTCCCCGCTTCAAAATTTAGCAATCTATGAACTAAATTCATAGTGTTAGGTTGGATCTAATCTCATACATAAATTGTTATATTTTGAGACGAGTAATAATTAACATATTTAAAGTACTCATCTCACACTTTTCCCCCGCATGATGCAACGTTTACCGACAGTTTATAGCTTCCAACAAACAAATGAGAAGATGGTTGCATTTAATTTAATTAGCTTGTGTGATTGGTGAGTGGTGACCAAACATTATGTCATCGATCGATCCCATGCATGCATCCACGCCCAATTTTTTCATATACACCCTCCGTCCCTAAATATTTAACGTCGTTGACTTTTTTATGATATGTTTGGCCGTTCGTCTTATTCAAAAGATTTAAGTAATTATTAATTCTTTTTCTATCATTTGATTAACTGTTAAATTCACTTTTATGTATATATATATTTCACAAAAGTTTTTGAATAAGACGAATGGTCAAATATACTTAAAAAAAATCAACGGTGTCAAATATTTAAGGATGAATGGAGTATATTTTTCTCCGATCCATGGAGCACGCGTATAGAAGTTCACAAAACATATGGTAACTAAAAAAATATTCACAGCATTTTTTTCTGCAGGGAAATATTCACATCATTTTCACAGGCCACGTAAGAAAAGAATAATATTCGTCGTATGAAGTCATTATAATCTTCCTTTATGGATATCTAGAAGGCATATGCATGCATGCATTCTGCGATATTAATATATATATGTAACCGGCGCTGCCGGCCACGTGGTTAATTAGACAGTTAATTAGTTGATGATGCCAGGTGGTGTTTAATTACTGTGGAAAACTTCTACTAGACGTCTGAATATCTTGTTGCCCTGATGATAATTAGTATACTGATAAATGGTTTTAATTAACTAGGCATCTTAGTCAGCTTCACTTAAGTGCAGATCTTAAGGTAGCTAGGCCCAGTCATAGTTCCAAACTTTTTTTTTCAAACTTACAACTTTTCCATAACATAAAAACTTTTCTATACACACATAAACTTC